GAAATTTGCAGGTAAATGGTGGGACCTGGAAAGTATCATCCTAAGTGAGTTGTCCCAGAAGTAAAAAGATACACACGGTATATACTCACTCATATAAACATACAACATAGGATAAACCCACTAAAATCTGTACATCTAAACAAACTAAGCAAAAGAGAGGACCGTAACTAAAATGTACATTCCCCATCCTGAAAGGCAAAGAGGATGGACATCAGAAGAAAAAGAAAATAGGAAACAACCTCGGAACCTGCTACAGAGGGCCTCTGAATGCCAGAAGAAGAAAACAGGAAACAACCTTGGAACCTGCCACAGAGGGCCTCTGAAAGCCTCTGCAGTATAGACTGTCAAAGCAGATGCTGAGCCTGATGGCCAACTGATAGGCAGAGTGAATGGAATTTTATGTAAGAAGTGGGAAATTTTGGTTGTGAGAAAGAAGGAGAGGAGAACCTCCCCTATCAGTGAACTTGGGAGGGGCATGCATGCAAAAAGGGGGGGGAGGGTGGGACCAGGAGGGGAGGAGGGAGGGACTTATGGGTGGATACAAAATGAATAAAGTAGAATTAATAAAAGTTAAATAAAAAATTTAAAAAATGGTTAAAGCCACTTTTTCCTTAATTAGTTGAGAACACCAGAAATCAGCCTGGGCCTGGCATGTCTACACTTACCATATTTCATTACAGAGTTTCAGATTTGTATGATGTTTGGGCAAATATTAGCCTTTGTAAATGTCTCTCAGTACAGTACTCATATAGAAATTAATTGTATCAACATCACAGATGCCATTCTAGGGTTGATGGAGCAGAGACCAAAGTCACACAGTAGAGGGATCCCTGCATTGTGAGTATTCACAAAACTAGACCTAAAAATAACCTCAGGGAAGGAATAGGCACAAAGTTTTATTATTCACTCACCTGATGACATTTTCCTATTTAACTGTTCTGTAAAGAGTGAAAGGGAGGTTTTGGCCAGCCAACCATGGCTTTCTTTTATTTTTGCTTAAACAAATCAGTGATCTGGAATCACCATAGCTCTGCACAAATAGGGCTTCCATTGACCCAACTGCAAAGGGCATTAGAAACAATGTTGTTCTGCATGCCTTGGTCGGTAATCAGCATTTTCTGCTATGCCAAACATTGGCTCGAAGTGAACCCCTTAGAAAGTGGAACAAGCACACTCTGGGCAAAGTTTAATTTTCTATCTTATTATAAGAAAGGTTAATTTAACAGTAAAATTTCCCCAATGCTAAATATGCATAGATGCCAGTACATTGAGATATTTTCTTTCAGTGGCTAGAGTAGATATGATGAAAATGAACAGAATATAGATTTTTAACATGAGTAACTATATCGTAATCGCTTATGTAATGTGCAATATTAAAAGAAAAGTTATTTTAGATTTTATAATTTAAGTAATGTGATTTAATACTTTGAACATGGAGTATCTGAGATTGTTCTATGGAATCTTAGAAAAATCTGGCTTATTTAGTGGGTAATAGAAGGGGCAGACTGACTGAAGAAAATTATGATTTTAAATGATTGCCATTCTAAATCAACAAAAAAAATGGTTCAGAGTAATTACTCATAAACAAGTAGTGATTTTGAGAACTCTGAACATCGAATTTTGCATAAAATATCATATCCTATAAATATAGAGGGCCTATACAGAGTAAAAATAAGAAGGCTATCTTTAAATGCCACCAACTCCAAATTATTGAATTCATATTGTTATTATCCCAAGATTTATTTCCAATGAAAATATTTATTTCAAAAACTGTTTCTATAACCGAAAGATAAATATGAAAATAATCAACAGACATGTCTAATAATGTTTAGGTGTTATTAATTTATGTGATACAAGAAACCAAACATACAGTGAAACACAGGCAGGCTGAATTGGGCATATGTTGAGAAACACATTCATGTATTTGCCTAATTTGTCAGAGGTCTTTTACTCCACTCCCAGAACTGGAAAATAAAGAAAGAAAGAAAAAAAAGAAAGGAAGGAAGGAAGGAAGGAAAGAAAGAAAGAAAGAAAGAAAGAAAGAAAGAAAGAAAGAAAACCCACAAATTCTGTTTTTACCGGAATTTACTGCAATGTTGTCTTGTCCTATCAGAGTTTTCTCCCTCTCTTGCAGTAAGTACCACTTTCATCCACACATTTTCTTAATTAAACCTCGTTCTTCTCACACTTTCTACCACTTTCTCACATATTAACCACAAATAGTAAATTGTTTAAATATTTAATTTTATATCATATTAAAAAATTCACAAAACTATATTGATACCTATTTTTGCATCTTATTAATTATTATTATTATTTATTACAATTTGTAGCCCAGCTGAGTTACCCCCCTCGTCTTCTCCCAATTCCACCCTCTTTTCTTTCTATGTCCCTCCCCTAGTCCACTGATAGGGGAGGTCCTCCTCCCCTTCTATCTGACCATAGCCTATTATGTCTCATCAGGATTGGCTGCATTGTCTTCCTCTGTGGCCTGGCAAAGCTGCATTCCAAAGGAGGAGGAGATGATCAGGGAGACTGCCACTGATTTCATGCCAGAGACAGCCCCTTTTCCTCTTGCTAGGGAACCCACTTGGAATGAGTGTATGGGCTACATCTGAGCAGGGGTTTTAGGTCCTCTCCATGCATGGTCCTTGTTTGGAGAATCAGTCTCAGAAAAGACCCCTGTGCCCAGTTTTGTTTGTTTGTTTATTTCTGTTGGTCTCCGTTTGGAGCTCCTGTCCTCTCCAGGTCTTTCTATCTCCCCCTTCTTTCATAAAATTCCATGCATTGATATCTCTTAAGGTTCGCTGACAGTGTCATTCACAGAGCAAATATCTATAAGTTAAACAAATGATGGAAATATTGCAGAACTCAGAAAACATCTAAACATGTCAATATGCCAGCAGAGTATAGACTAGGCTTCTTTGGGGGTTATACTGAACGGTTAAGATGGTATCATGAGGCCACTATAAACTATGTCGTTCTCTAATGACAGCTCAATTTTGAAAGATGTCAAATGCCAGCCACTTTTTGTAGGACTTCAGGTTTGCTAAAGCCACTTAGCCAAAAAACAAAACAAAACAAAACAAAACAAAACAAAACAAAATGCCTCTTAAATAAAACAAAAACAAAAAAAAATACATATAGTCTCTCACTGTGTGTGTTTATCTGTGTATCTGTGTGCCTATGTATCCATGTGTATGCATTCTATGTTGAGCTGCGAAGTTCAGAGGACAACTATGGGAGTCAGTTCCATGTTTCTTCCATATCAGTCCTATACATCCAAACTCAGGTCATCACGTTTGCTGGCCAATGCCTGCTTTATCCACTGAGCACTTTTGCCAACCTCTTTCGTATTTTTATCATTTCTTTCTTTCTTTCTTTCTTTCTTTCTTTCTTTATTTGTTTTATATTTCTAAACAAGTTTTTTCCATATTCATAATGCTAATTTCAATCCAGTATGACAAAAGATTTGAATGTATTATAGATGTTATTTTAATGTTTATATATTTAAGATTCTTGAGTTATTTCAAGTTATAGCATTTTTTCTATTTTGTGCTTATTTCTTTTTGTTTGTTTGTTTTATTGTTTTAATTTGAAGCTTGTAATGGAAAACATACTTTTTGAGTATTTTTTTCTTTTAATTTTTATTATTAGCTACATTTTTTTAACTCAGTATCCCAGCTGTATCCTGCTCCCTCATTTCCTCCCAATCCCACCCTCCCTCTCTCATGTCCTCCTGGCCCCTTTCCAAGTCCAATGATTGGGGGGGATAAGATGATCAATCCTCACTTAGGAAGACAAATGGGAGGTGGATTGGACTTAGGAGAAAACAAGTGACAGGACAGGAGCAGAGGGCCTCTGAAAGACTCTACCTAGCAGTGTATCAAAGCAGATACTAAGACTCATAACCAAACCTTCGGCAGAGTTCAGAGAATCATATGAAAGAAGGGGGAATTAGTATGACATGGAAAAGATAGGAGCTCCACAAGGACCAAATACATCTGGGCACAGGGGTCTTTTATGAGTATTTTAAGTATTTTAAGAGTGAGACAAAATGAGAAGTGGAAATTCTGTGTTTGAGTTCAGATATATGACAGAGTATATTATTGGGCTTTCTCAGCTTCCCATGATCATAAGACAAGAAGGCTATTGCCTCAAAAACATAGCCCTGCACTAAAAATATCCTAATACAGGGACAGTAGTTGTGTTATATAAGGTAATGTACCATATTAAGAATTATTATAAGAAATATCTCTGTGGTTCTCCTTTTATAGCCTATCCAGTCCATGATTGGTAAAAGGATGTGTACCTTGTGCATAGGTAAGATAAATGGTATAAAGGTGTCTTTGAAATTTAGGCTTTCCAATTTGACCTAAGAACAGATTTAGACATAAGCTCTATTTTTTTTTTTTTTTAGTTAAAAGTTCTTGCAGGGTTGAAAATCTCAGTTATTGCTCAGCTACCATCTTCAAACAGCTACCGACAGAGGCATCATTCCAGGATAGAAATATTTTCCATTCATTAGGGCTGTATGTTAAAAGTTCAGGCTTAATATTTGCTATAAAATCATTCTAAAATAGACTTGTTGATTTTCAGTCTTAACTGAGATATTGCAATCTTCAAAGCTTTCCTAAAAAAGACAATGTGAACCCCAGCAATCCTTCCTCCAGTGACAGCAGCACCTCATTTATCATGTCCAATAGTCACCAGAGCTTATATTTTAGTGAGAATGAAATAAAAATTAGTACTATCATTAATTTCAAAAATGAAAATTACTAAAAAAAAAAATTTAAATGTGGTCAACAACCAAATAGTAATGACTCTGTGTATTCACTGTAACTTAGTTATTTGATTAGTTATAATTTCACTTATGGTCTCTAGATAACTTATTTTTACTTTAATTTTCCAATGAAATTATATCAGGCTGAGATAATAAAAAATAAGCCAAAACTATATATAATCATGACTTAGGGAATGAAACAAATGAGGTTACTTACTAGGAAGCTCTGGTGGAGGGGTGGGGACCAAGGTTGGCTCTGGATAGAGACTCTCGCCACAAATTCCTTTTGTTAGGCTTATATCATCCAGGGCTATTGTACTCCAACCAGGGTTTCTAAAAGCATTGAACACAACCTGAAATTCAGAGAGGCATATCATGTTATTCTACTGCAATAATTTCTGACTTCTGGGGATATCTCTATCCCTGACTTCAGGCTATCCTACAGAGCAATAGTAATAAAAACTGCATGGTACTAGCATAAAAACAAACTGGTTGATCAACAGAATTGAATCAAAGATCCAGAAATAAAGCCACATACTCAAAATCTTAAGTGATGGCACGTGCTGGCGAGGGTGTTGAAAAAGGGGAACACTCTTCCATTACTAGTGGGAGTCAAAACATGTACACCCACTTTGGAAATCAATCTGGCATTTCCTTAGAATATTGAGAATAACTTTACCTCAAGACCCAGGTATACCTCTCCTGGGTATATACTAAAAAGATGCTCTGCCATGCAACCAGGACACTTTCTTGCTCAACTACATTCATAGCAGCTTTACTCATAATAGCCAAAATCTGAAAGCAACTTAGATGTCCCTCAACCAAAGAATAGATAAAGTAAATGTGGTACATTTACACAATGACATACTACTCAGCTACTAAAAACAAAGAAATCATGAAATTTTCAGGCAAATGGATAGAACTAGAAAAGATCACCCTGACTGAGGTAATCTAGAAGCAGAAAGACGCACACAGTATGTACTCACTTTTAAGTGGATTTTAGACACACAGTACAAGATAAGCCTATGAGGCAGAGACCCATTGAAGATAAGTAACAAGGAGGATCCAAGTGATGAAGCATAACTTGGAAGGGGAGATAGAATAGAAAGAGGTAATGACTGAAGAGGGGAAACAAGTTAGGAAAGGGGGAACAGAGAATTCAGAGGGTTGAGATCAGACCTGAGGAGAGCAAGGACAAGAGGACAGAAGCCTGTAGAGAAGAGAAACTAAGAGTGGGAACATCTCTGTGACAAGCTGGAGACCTAAGTAAGGGTTGGCTCCAAGGAGGGCATGACGGGGTCTCAAGCAGAGACTCCTCATAGCAGAGACCATAGAGATTGAAAAAGACACCCTTTAACTAGACTAGTCTCCTAATAAAGGGCGGGAATCACCAATCCATCCATAAATACTTTGACCAAAATTTACTCTGTCTACAAGATCTGCAGAGGTAAAGACAGAGCAGAGATTGAGGGAATGCCTTTCCTAACCAAAGATCCACCCAACTGGAGAGTGCCAACCCCTGACAACATGAAAGAATGATGCTCTGCTAAGCTTGCAGACTTGAGCCTATCAGAGTTGTCCTCTGAGAGGCCTTACCCAGGAGGGCCTCAACACAGATGCTGAGACTCACAGCCAAACATTGGTCAATGCATAGGGTGTCTTGGAGGACAGTGGGAGGAAAGAGAAAAATACCCAGAAGTAACAGGAGCTCCATAAGTAAAACAGCAGAGCCAAATAACTAGGACCCAGCGGGGTTTGCTAAGACTGAAACATCAACCAAGGACCATACATAAACTGGACCTAGGCCCCCTACAAAGATGTAGCTGATTGGCAGCTTAGGCTTCAAGTGGGTATTCTAGTAAAGGAAATGGGTGCTACGTTGGAAACAGACTCACTTTCCCACAATGGGATTCCCTTAAAGCCTGTCAAGGGGAAGTGGACACCTTCAGTTCTGATGCTGGGGTGGATGGGAAATGGAACTCCCCTTTTCTGAGGAAAAAGTAAAGAGGGGAGGAGGGTGGAAGAGAGGATGACTGAGAAGGGAAAAGGAAGGGAAGGGGCTACAAAGATGTAAAGTGAATAAAACAGATAAATGAGGAGGAAAAAGAATTTCTTCAAATTGAAGGGAATCACTAGGTTTGCCGTGTCCAAGGATTTATAAGTAGGAAGAACAGTTGAGAGATGGTCTCAGACCAGGTGAGCTGCCTGGAAAAGGCACTCTCCAACTCTCCAACCTGTGAGGAGTTAATTTCAAGTGTCCAGCTTTTGTGACCCATCATCTAAGCTTTGGTTATGCACCTTTGCTTGAGGCATTCCTGGTCCTATAAGTAATCCCTCACCCATATTCCTTTAATAACCCAAATATATCTCACTTGTTCAGTAAGTTGGACTTTGTTGGTATACTTACTTTGGCCTTTCATTGGTTTCCTATCTGGGGTGATTAGATATTACTTTTTAAGAGAATTTTCAGGGTTTTTTTACATCCCAAGGATCCCCCCTCCCTCCTAAACATTATTTTGCATATACCTGAGATTAGTGTTATTCAACATAATTGTAACAATATGTGATAGTAAAATCTGTGTGATGAGAATTATTATTTCTTTTCTTTTTTCCTCTAGGACATCCTTTCCTTGTGTAGCCCTGGCTATCTAGAATTCACCTAGAATTCACTAGGTAGATCAGATTGGCCTCAAACTTACAGAGAGCTACCTGCCTCTGTCTTCCAAGGGCTGTTATTAAAGGTGGACACCACCACTACCCAGCTGGGGATTATTCTTAAACTTCTGTATTCAGTCCTTTACCCTGTGGTTAACCAAACCATAGGAGTTCAATCAGGAATAAGTAACTGTCACTGTGAATGTGAGATGTGTTAGCATCTTACTGAGCCAAGTCCAAAGTAATGAATCATTATGAATTTAGAAAAGAACCTCAATGGCCAGGATTGCCTGAAGAAATACCGATTTCCTCATTTCATTCATGTTTCTTTGTTTGATATTCCATTTTTTTAAAAATTTGAATTGTCAATTAACAAGCAAAATTAGAGAAGAAAAAGTCATAATGAAAACTAGAATAAGAAAAAGTAAAGAAAGGTATAACAGGAAGTATGCAGACAAGAATCACTGCTTATGACTGCCATAATCTATGTCAGTGGTTCTAAACCTGTGGGTTTTGACCCCTTTGGGGTCAAACAACCTTTTCCCAGGATCACATATTAGATACCTACATTACAGTTCATAACAGTAACAAAATTATAGCTATATGTAGCAACAAAATAATTTCATGCTTGGAGGGGGTCACCAGAATATTGAGGCACTGCATCAATGGGTGCAGTATTAAGAAGGTTGAGAACCATTGCTCTGTGTCATAGAGGATATATCCCTCTGAGGATGATGTTTTCTATTCAAATATACATCTTCTGAAAGTGATACTAACTTGTTTCAAATTACTCAATTAAAACAGTGTTAATTTGATCAAACTAATAGGCTGCATTATCCTATACTTTAATTGCAACAACCCTCAGGAAATGAAGACATTAAATTCTTATCTGGAAAAATTAATCCAACTTAATGCAGAATAAATGATCAGAGACTCCCTAATGATACGGCTCATAGAATTTCTCTTTAAAGTAAATCTACAGAGATTAAGTCAGAGTGGAGTCAATTTGGTGGATATTGATGGACATGGATGTATTATTAGGAAAAGATAATTATCTAGAACATGTTGAGTTGAACTAGGTGGAGTTTGTGAAATGGTAGAAGTCACCATAATGCAGAAAAAAAGCATTGTTGAAATGAGATAAAGTTGCCTTCTTTTCTCTGGGTCCCATGGACTATAATAAGTGGCAAGTTAATATTGCAAATTATTACTCAAAAGTGTTATTTAATAAATCAGTGAAGAAATGAAATCTCCTAAAAAATAAAATAGATTAGAAAAGAAAAGAAGAAATTTACCTAGTTTTCTCCCAAAAATACTTAATCACATCATTTTAAAATATACTCACACCTTCACCAAATTAACAAAACAAAACAAACAAAAACCCACCACCACCACCAACAACAACAAAAAAACATAAACAGAAATTGAAAGTATTTTTACAAACCTTAAATTCTTCTGTTTCATTTAATGTGACTTGACCATAATTCCAATTCATCCCGTAATTTCCTTTCCTTTGAAAAACTGTCTTGTCTGTTGTTTCACCACTGCTGATATGAAGGCTTAAGTTGTAGACATTCTCACAACACATATAATACCTAGTTTGGAAGTCAGTAAAGATGTTTAGACTCCAAGACCACTGAATAATTTCCTTTCAGCTTTTTCTATCTCTTTTCTTGTATTTCCAATATCTTTGTTTTCGTTGGCCGTTTCTAGGGAAATGGTTAGGGAGCCTATCAACACTTTGCTGTTCTAGCAATTAAAAACAAACAAAAACTGCAATAGTGTGTTCACTAAGACTTTAGCCGAAATCTTAGTGAAATTTGAGCCTGCTTCTATAATCAAAGTTTGCTAGCCATTTACAAAGGTGACATTTAAGCGAAACTTTACCAGAAGTTAAGGAAATGACTAGAAACGTACCAGAAACGAAGGCAGACAGGCTCCGATGTGAGATCTAAAGAGAGGCTTGAAAGCCCCACTCGTTCTCTTCTCCATCCTTGTTCGGTTGGTGTAGAAATGTAAAATCCTGTAAAGACGACCAAGAACGTTTACTTTCTTCAGGGATGTAAACGTTAAAATGAAGCATCAGGACATGCATTTTTGCATGTTGGATCCTAGACTTGGGTCCAGAATAGTTGATTCTGTCATAGTAAATCGATTAGGAGAATCTCTCAACTCTGGGCTGCCTACTTTTATTCTAATTTTCTATGCATTCATAGCTTGACAGGTGATCAGCAGATGGCTGACTTTATTTAGATATTCTGATTAGGTAGCTCATGAGATACACAATCATTTAAGAACACATTTGATGACGAGGCTAAGTATCCCAAATACTGGTCTCATCCCATTGACTACAATGCGTATCTTTACATAAGAAGGTGCTTGGTTTTATATGGGCTTCATATTTCTGTGTTCCTTTGAATGATAACTAATCAGATCACAGAGGAGCAGGCAGCATGCTCATCCATATAAAAGCTTTTGAAACAGCACAAGATACTGCATAAGTGCTTTCTGGTCTAGAATCATTATTCCAGCCAATGATTTGAGTCATTCCAAGTGTGTGAAGTATGACTAGCGAAGAATATCTTGAATATTCCCTTAGGGGAATTTACTTCATTCTTAGTTTGAAACATATATATATTAAGACAGAAGCAAGAATCATGCAGCAAACCATGATACAACGCAAATGAAATATTGTACTAAGAGAATTTGATTGCCGTGAGTTTTTAATGAAACGCTCAAATACGTTTGCTTGAAATCAACATCTTCCTTCTCTCCTTGCCTGTCAATAGAAAAGTAGAGCATAAAAAGTGCAAACTCACTCATTTGCAATGTGCAGAGTAAGAATAAGGCATGAAGAAAAAATGCAAGTAGAGCTGCTTACAAACGTACACTTAGTCCAACGAGGCAGAAATTATTCAGAATAAATGAGTTTTCTATCAAGATGAAATAGTGGTCAAATGACTTACACATGTAACATACGCACATGCACTGGATTCATATTGCAAAATGCAAGATAAAATAAATGTGTCTACACAGTTTATGCTAGAAACAGATGACTCACATTTTATATATGTGGTGGTACTTTATGAATATTTTAGCTATGCCTGTGCTCACTTTTTCAAAGCTATGAATAGGATCAGCTTCAGATTCACAGCCTAAGTCCCGGCATCTGTTCTCCAAGCACCCACATCCAAACTCATTTTGCATTCATCTTGATTTTTAGTTGTTTAGGGCATAATAAGAAAGAAGTGAGTAGTGAAGCGCTTATTTATTTATTATGCACAGATATATTTCTAGTGAACTGTTAGTTTTGTGCAGAAGTTCACATCATGTTGTTATTTCTGTTTGTCCATGTTCGCACATCAAGTCAGTCTACTAGTTATGATTTGAAATATATTAAGCCTGCTTTTCACTCATTTAATAGTGATATGTTTAGAACTGATCATACAATCAATATATGAATTTATGTCCACATAAAACATCATTAATTATGGAAACGATAGTACTTTTTATATTTTATACAAATAAATCAATGTAGTAAATGTCATGCAGCTATAGATACTGTCATATGTAAAATGATATACTATACTAATTTATTCCCTAAGTCAGACAAATTATTCATCTAACAAAATAGAAAATAAATTCCCTATAAAATGATGAGAGTATGCAATGTACATTAAACTTAGACCAGTCACCCAATTATTTTTCAGTTTAATCTATGACATTTTGGTATGGATCCAATTTTGGTATGGATCGCTACTTATTTAACACACACAGGAAGCAACAGGAACACTCAAAGGTAATACATTTGATTTAAACCTGATTAGATTTTTTTTATAGCCTAAGAGATTTTCTAATCTAGAGAGTTAATGTTTTATGCACACCAATTTTCTAACTTTTATCTCTGGGATAAAATACTTTTTTTTTTAATTCCAAGGACACTCTCATCTCTCTGCATCATCTCTCTTTTGCATTAGGTAATTTGAATATCCTATAAACTTAACTTTGCACCTTCATGTGATGAGCTCTAAATTAGCTGTACGTCTAGCTGTTTATACTCACAAGGGATGACCCTGTGTCTGACTTTTAGAGCTGTCCTATTTTTTGACAGGGTCTTTCATTGGCTTGGGGCTTGGATGATTTTGCTATTCTAGCTGATTGGAAGGCCAAGATATCCTCCAGTTTCCTGTTTAGCCCCTCATCATCTTGTGGGATTGTAAGTATGTACCGCCTATGTAGGCTTTTTACAGAAGTGCTGGGGAATCTAGTTCAGGACCTCATTTTTGCCTGGTTAACACTTTGTCCATTAAGCTAGGTCTCTAGGCATGTAGTACGTACTTACTAAACTTGATAAACTTGGAAAAATGAGTACTATGTTTTTTTACTTTTGTATTTTCTATTTGGGATCAGTAAATTCAGTTTAATATATTCTTCTTATACCAATTTGACGTGCTTTCATATTTATTAAAGCCCCACAAAGAATGATCATTAGACATTTTATGTTACCATGTGAAATTTCTATGGTTAAAAGATAATTTTTATGAAATGCGTTTTAGATCTCTTGAAATTAACCTTAAAGTAAGCCTAGAGCCAAAAAATGAAATAAAGTTTGCTAATTCTAGCACACAATGAACTTTTTCTCAAGTCGTTACATTTTTCTTTTCTTACAACTTCCATCACTTTTGCCACTTGTTTCTTTATGAGCTAAATTCAAACTCTCTCAAGTCAACACCCCAATTGAAGCTGTAAATTCTAGGCATGCACTGATGCTGATGCAGAGAGCGGAGCCTGGGAAGGTGGTTATGATTCCTAGAAAATTGGAGGTCTCTTTAAGAAAGAAACTCGGATCACTAAAATGGCCTCATGAGCCCTAGCACGTATAAAAGATAAGTACTAGGTAAATATCACTGAGTGTTTTAGTGTAAAGATTGGTCTCAATTCAGTCTTTTTAAATGTTATAAAGTAGTTTTGCTTTCTAAAATTTAATACAACTGGAAAGACAAGACAAACAAACAAACAAACAAAAAGAAAAAACCAACAAAGAATGATTCCCTGCACTCTGCCAAAGTTTTGGTTATGATTCTCAGCATCTGCTTTGATACACTGCTAGGCAGAGTCTTTCAGAGGCCCTCTGCATTAGGCTCCTGTCCTGTTACTTGTTTTCTCCCATGTCCAATGCACCTCCCATCTGTCTATCTAAGGAAAGATTGATCATCTTACCCTAGTTTTTTTGTTTATCTTCTTTAGGTGAATAGATTTCATTATGTTTATCATATCGTATAATCTATATGAGTGAGTATATACCATGTGTGTCTTTTTCCTTCTGGGATACCTCACTCAGAATGATCTTTTCTAGATCCCACCATTTGCCTGAAAATTTCATGATTTCCTTGTTTTTGATTGCTGAGTAGTATTTCATTGTGTAAAAATACCACAATTTCTGTATCCATTCCTCCATTGAGGGACATCTCGGTTGTTTCCAGGTCCTGGCTTTTATTATTAAAGCTGCTACAAACATGCAGGGAATCATATGAAAGAAGGGGGAGTTAGTATGATGTGGAAAGGATAGGAGCTTCACAAGGACCAAATATATCTGGGCACAGGGGTCTTTTCTGAGACTGACACTCCACCAAGGACCATGGATGGATATAACCTAGAACCTCTGCTCAGATGTAGCCTGCGGTAGCTCAGTAACCAATTGGTTTCCCATAGTAAGGGGAACAGGGACTATTTCTGACAGGAATTCAATGGCAGGCTCTTTGACTTCTCCACCCTTCAAGGGAGGAGCAGTCTTGCTAGGCCACAGAGGAGGACTTTGCAGCCAGTCCTGAAGATACCTAATAAAACAGGGTCAGATGAAAGGGGAGGAGGTCCCCCCTATCAGTGGACTTGGAAAGGGGCAGGAAGGAGATGAGGGAGGGAGGCAGGGATTGGGAGGGAATGAGGGAGGGGGATACAGCTGGGATACAGAGTTAATAAAATGTAACTAATAAAAAAACGAAGAATGCCATTTTAAAAGAACATAAATTACACTAAAAGTATATTTATTTGCCAAGTTGAAATGCAGATATGTAAAAAAAATAATACATCTTTAAAATTTGAGCCAAACAGCTGCTTTCCTTACAGATAGCAACTTAGAATAGAACCATGGACAACTGCTGTCTCTTGAACACTTTTGTGCCAAGAAGGAAAAGTTTTAGGGTGGTTCTCATGTCAGTATTTTAGTGACCTTTGTAGAGCATAATGATGGATTGAATGTTTGTATATCTTAAACATATAAATCTTATCATCATCAATCTTGTTTTCTAAAGGAAGAAAACAAAGTAGAGAGAAGAAAGATAATTTACCTAAAAGTATGGGGGACAATAAAATTTAATCACAGCTAAAACATAATGGCTCTTACTCTTAATGACTTCTATTTTACTTAAGGCCCCCCTTCAAAGTGCTGGAAACAACTGAAATTTTGTTGCAAAGAGGGAGAAGAACCAAAGATTAGCTCACCCCTTTGTGACCCTTCCCTTTGTGAAGTCTTTTTTTAATACCTGTAACCTCATGTACCCCAAATGTTCTGAACATATAGCCCCCCTCTAACATGCCAAGCAAGTGCCCTGTATCAATGCCACCACCTCATCCCAATTCCCTTTATTTTTAAGGGGTACAAAGAAATCCTGAGAACTGACAGGGCACTGATTGAGGAGCTGTGGCTCCCCCAAGAGGGAGTTCTTTAGAAGATCTGGAAAAAGTTGAGCAGCTTAGATGTTCCTCCCTAAAGTGACGCTAATTCAAAGTTTATCTGTTCCATTTAGGCTCTCCTGTCATTTAAAGTGAAGCTAAGAACAAAAGAACCCTGCGTGGATAAGAAGAACTGCAGGAGAGATTTAATTCTCTTGCATTTCAGTGGAACAATGTTCTGACACATTAAAAAAAAAAAGTCAGTTGAAAGAAAAATAGCTCTGGGGGTGAATGACTGGTAGATTATGAAATCACAGCTATGAGAGTTAGCGAGACCTGTTAAGCCCTACCTTCGCCCTCATTACTCACTGCCACTGGTGTGCTCTGACCTGCTTGATCTTGTCTAATTTTTTTATAAGTCCTGATGCACAACTTTCTCCTAAAACTCCATTTCCCTCCCAACTATTTAAAATCTTCACCTGGCATTCATCCTGCTTCACTTTGACCAGTTTCATCTCATTTCTTTAGCTATTTAATCTGCTGGCAAACTGAAGTCAGTTTTTCCTCCTATAATGTACTTAGACTCCTTCAAATAGCAATGAAATTATTTTATATCTATTATGATGCCACAAAAGTAGAAACTGATAATATTATTTATTTTTTAAATGTTATTTATATATTTATTTATTACAATTTATTCACTTCGTATCTCCACTACAGCCTCCTCCATTATAGCCTCCCAGTCTCACCCACCCCCCTCTTTTTCCCCCTATGCCCTTTACCTAGTTCCCTAATTATGGAAGTCCTCCTCCCTTCCTCTCTGACCCTACCTTATCAGGTCTCATGAAGGCTGGTTATTTCATCTTCCTCTGTGGCCTACAAGGCTGCCCCCCCCCCCCAGGGGAAGGTGATCAAAGAGCCAGCCACTGAGTGCATGTCAGAGACAGCCCCTGTACCTCTTCCTAGGGACCCCACTTGGAAACTGAGCAGCCATCGGGCTTCCATTGAACAGGGTTCTAGGTCTTCTCCATGCCTGGTCCTTGGTTGGAGTATCAGTCTCTGTAGGTCCCCCTGGGCCCAGGTATTTTGGCTCTGTTGTTCTCCTTGTGCAGTTCCTGTCCCCTTCACAATCTCCCTCTTCTTCTATAAGGATTCCAGCACTCTTCCCAAAGTTTGGCGTATATGTCTCAATATATCCTTTGATACCCTGGTGGGTAGAATCTTTGGAGGTCCTCTGTGGAAGGCTCCTCTTCTATTCCTTGTCTTCTCCTACTTCCAATGTCTATCCTGAAACTGATATTTTAACATCAATGATTTCAACTACATAGCCCATATCTGTAGTCGCCGATAGGTACCAATGATTTGCTGAAGTTTTAATTCCTCTTGCTTAAGTGTAGTCTAGACATTATTAGATTGTTTTTTTTACATAAGAAGAAATAAAACTAATCCTGTTATTTAGCAGTTTTGGTATGACTTTGTGTGGGTGGGGGGAACTAAGGCGATTATCAGCCTAAGGGTTAGTTCTCATTTAGTTGAGTTAGTGGTTTATCCAGGTGGGATCAAGCTCTTGGAAACAATTTATTCCAACTTACTATATTGGTTCATTCATATGTAACCATTTTCAAAATTAAATATCATTGGGCTTTCGGAAGCAGCCACCTATGCAGAGCACATTTGCATGCATGTGTCTATAAGGATATTAATGTTTCATTTCAACTGATAGCTGTTAGTTACCATTAGCTACTAATTACTAATTGCAGCTGCTTTTCCATTCAAATTCCAGTCACAACATAACTTTCTCACAACAAATGCTTTGTGATTAAGGTCCTCTGACTCTTCTGTGGGTCAGTGGGAAGCCTGGTACTGGTGTCTGTCCCACTTTCTTGCCCTTTCCCACAGTGCACAGATCCTATTGGTTAGCATGAGCCCTAACACTTCACTGAGCTGGTTCCTACTGGTCATCAACATGCAAGCCAGCACCATAGACAGCAATGGAAGAATCACCTCACTGCCTCTCTTACTTCACTGCAGCCTGGCGGGCATAATGGCTTCTTCTCAAAGGGGCCAACATTCTCTTTGTTCTCTTAGTTCTCTTTGTCTAGTATATTATCGCTGGCTCTTGTGATCCCTTAGAAGTTTGATTCATGTCATTTCTTCAGTGACATCTAAAATGATAGCCTTGTTTTAATGAGTAATTTCTTTCCTATTCCTACCTTCAAAGGTTTATATTTTCCCAGGTTCTTTATAGACATTTAATGTATCAAAATTACTCTTTATGTAAACTGCTTGTTTTTATAATTTAAAATTTTTAAATCACATTTAAAACATGTGATCTATGAGCCAGAAAATGTTTTCTAAATCCACAGATGTATTATGAGTATCTTGTACAGGACTTAGGGGTCAAATAATGTACCAAAGAATAAATGAAAGGGGGCTTTTGATTATTATTGTGAAACTACATTAGGTATGGTCATTTTAAGAAATTATCTAATTAAAGCAGAGAGATAAGCCATATTTATTTAGTATTGGATGTTTTTGTTTAAAGAACCAGAGTTAAACAGGCTTCTATCTTGAAAAACACTTGACTTTTCAATTTCCTTTAACCATATGTCAGTTACAGCTCACTTTAACTATTTACCCTTCCAGTCATCAAATGGAGCATACTGGTCTTTGTGATATAATGATCACTAATAATAAATAACAGCTACATGTGCTTAGACTTTAGTGATATAATTTATTTCATTGGATGAATTATTAAAAAATGGGTAATTGAATCAAAAGTGTAGATACTCATTTCTACATTCAAAATAGCTCTACATGTTGGTTAGATAAAAAAAAAATGAGTAGGTTCTTGTCACTGGAAAGAATGTTGCAGCAAAAGAAACCAAAAGGTCAGCAAACAGAGTTTGACGAAAACAATGGGTTCAACTCTGAGGTCTCAAGCTCGTGCAGAAACAGTAACATGTGAATTGCATCCTGAGAGCTTGAGTACCACAAGTACAAGGTTCTTGGTGCTGCATTTTTATCGGAGACATTGACACATGTTTTCAAAGAATGACTTTGTTTCTATATATGTCTGTACACACACACACACACATATGCATACACACATATACATACCCACACATATATACATATCATACACACATAAATACAAGCATATGTACACATACATACTCACATACACACATATACATGCAATATACATACACACATGTAGATATGCACACATAAATACAAACACATGCGCACACACAGATTTCAGTTTGTTCTGATTTTGATTTTTTTTTAATTTATAATACACATTTTTACTAGGTTTGCAACCTTTAATCACCGCCTTTATGAGTGTTACAAATGTCTTACTTCAAGTATCTCAGTAGTACCTTCCTGGTACAATTACTTATCCCTATCTTTCCCAGACTTGTCTACTTAGTCTAACTGTACTGTCTTCAGTGACAGGTTTTCTGCATGGTACCTAGCGTCTCACATTCGCACAAATCTAGCATTCACAGAAAGCTACCTTCACCTCCCACAGCCATCCCTTGCAATCTCTGCTCTCAAGTCACTCTTCTCTATAGCCACCAGAAGTAAATCTGTATGTGTTCTGATAGGATTTGTACACTCACAAATTCTGAGGTGTTCTTAACAATAACACTATCTGAACCAACGAACAAGTTCAGCCAGGCTAATGAGCACTGGACCAATTCACAAAACTAGATTATATTTCTGTGAGCTCACAATGAATAACTGAAAAATGAAATTAAGGCAAAAACAGACTAATGGTCAGAAAAGTCAATTATCTTGCACAAGTCCAATTACTTATGAATCATTTCAAAGCTATGGTTACAAGCTAATTTCCTTATGTCTAATGACCTTTGATTACTTTTCATCATTGATGTGAGCAAAGAGGGTATAACATATTTTTAAAAACCCAGTCGCTTAGATGTGTGATTACCATTTTAGATACAATTATTAGTTAATAATAAAAATGGTAAAATATTTTTCATAAATAAAGATCCATTTAGATGAAGTAAAAATGCATTCTTTTCTTTATGAATAAATGTAAATCATACCTGAATCATTTCCGAATGTGTGGTCAAAAGGTGGTCCAGTGAAGATAGGAAACTGGTTTCCGTGAATCCTTTCCCACTCATTATCATCATCAAGATCCTGGACCCAAAAACAAAAGCCATCTTCAAAGGTGCAGTCAATTTTCTCATAATCTGTGAATTTAAAAAAGCTCTTAAATTTAAATATTTAACACAAGCAATTTGCTATATAGAAAATAATTCAACTTTATATATTTTGTAATTACTTACTGTCCATTGTCATTTTCATTAATCTTAACTATGTTCCATATTATTTATTTTAAGGTACCTGTTTGTTTCAACCATGACAAATTATTGTATACTTGGTTTTAACAGTGCACGTTTATATTACTTATTTTTCCATGTTGATTACCCTGTTTACCCACATAAACTTTGTCAATCTGTTTTTCTCCTGATATAACTAAATTCAGTAATTTAATCAAATAAACCTCATGTTGAAATTTCTCAGAATTACTTAGTATTAATATACTTTCACTCGTAATGTTTACTGAATATAAAAAAATCATTTAATTATTACATTGACTTGTGATCGTCAAAAACTGGTCAGTTGATTCCTATGAAGAATATAAGTTTTTTAAATTTATCATTTGTTTCTAACTATCATGTAAAGAGAGAATTAGTTAAGAGATATAGAAGAACTCACTTAGGGAAAAATTAAGTTCTGTGGCTGTTAAAAATGCTACAGCATTTAGAGAGTCAAAGAATAAACAGCAGAAAGTACTTACTGTTCAGGCCACTGCTGTTAAAGGTATTATATGTTGCATTAAAGCCAATGTAATCATTTTCATCAGATTCTATCAGAAAGGTGACTGTAACTAGGTTGGAAAAAATTCGAATTGTTCCAGGATCAGTTTCCATAAAAGAGGCTATGAAAGAAAATGTTTATAAATTATGACACGTATATATTATACCTACTCATAAAAGAAAAAAATGAATTACTTTACCAAGCACATTTCTGTAAAAGCCACAAAGTTGGGTAGTTAATTATAGGTCTAAAGATTAACTTGTGTTGCATACCACAGCAATGAGAGCTAGAAAAGGATCATACAGTGAAGTAAACAGTGTGTGCGTGTATTTGCTCTGCTTATCTATATAGCTGTAGAAACTCAAAATAATAATAGATAATGCAAGAATTGCTTCTAGAGATTTATACTGATTATATAATTGTTCTGCCTTAAGTCTACTGCCTCGTTTTTCCACTTTTGATTCTCAAGGATTGATATGCTTTAAATATTAAAGAAACTCACATAATTTATAAAATTTTCATAATATGAAGTACTTTTACAACATTGTGTAGCTTGCCATATCTATCATAAAAGATAGTAATATCACATTGAGGAAAATCAGACTTGGGTTTTATATTAAAATGGTAATGTTTTAAAATACACAAAAGCACATATTTTAGATGGACAATATGGAGTAGGTATCAAATTCTAGCCCTTGAAAAGTATCAAACTTCAGATGGAGGACACATAAGTACTGTTTATTTTCCTTTAAAGAGATAATTTGTGAAATATTGAAAAATATGTACTTCTGTACAAATTAGTAGAGCTTCACATTAGCATGAGAATTTCCACAAAACCCAGTAGAAGCACCTTGCTGAAACAATGAGTCATGTTTCCATCCACAACGTGCTTTTCATTCAGCTTTTGCTCGTGAAGATTTATATTGGCTACAAGATTCTTCCTAGAACTGTATGTGACTCGTAAACAGCAGGATTCTCATATTGAAAATCTTCTGCCAACTGGATGTCCACATGCAGAAAAATGAAAATAGATCTATATTTATCACCCTGCACAAAACTAAAGTCCAAGTGGATCAAAGACCTTAACATAAAACCAGATACTCTAAATCTGTTAGAAGAAAAAGTAGGGAACAGCCTAGAACTCATTGGCACAGGAGACAACTTCCTGAACAGAACACCAACAGCACAGGCTCTAAGAGCAACAATCAATAAATGGGAACAATCAATAAATGGGACCTCATGAAACTGAAAAGCTTCTTAAAGCAAAGGACACTGTCATCAAAACAAAACGACTGCCTACAGATTGGGAAAGAATCTTCACTAACCCTTTAACTGACAGAGGACTAATATCGAGTATATACAAAGAACTAAAGAAGCTGAAAAGCAGCAAACCAAGTAATCCAAGGCCACAGTAGAGGACAATGCAGCCACTTTTGACGAGAACTGATAGACTAAGATCAGAAAGAAGAGGAGAACCTCCCCTATCAGTGGACTTGGGGAGTGGCAAGCATGCAGAAAGGGGAGGGAGGGTGGGATCGGGAGGGGAGGAGGGGGGCTTATGGGGGATACAAAATGAATAAAGTGTAATTAATAAAAAATTTAAAAAAAAGAAAGAAAAAAATGGGGAACAGAGCTAAACAGAGAATTCTCGACAGAGGAATATCGAATGGCAGAGAAACACTTAAAGAAATGCTCATCCTCATTAGCCATCAGGGAAATGCAAATCAAAACGACCCTGAGATATCACCTTACACCCATTAGAATGGCCAAAATGAAAAACTCAAGGGACAACACATGCTGGAGAGGTTGTGGAGAAAGGGGAACCCTCCTCCACTGCTGGTGGGAATGTAAACTGGTACAACCACTCTGGAAATCTATCTGGCACTTTCTAAGACAATTAGGAATAGTGCTCCCTCAAGACCCAGCTATACCACTGCTAGGTATATACCCAAAGTTTGCTCAAGTACACAAAAGGGATATTTGCTCAACCATGTTTATAGCAGCTTTATTTGTAATAGCCAGAACCTGGAAACAACCCAGATGTCCATCAACGGAGGAATGGGTACAGAAATTGTGGTATTTTTACACAATGAAATATCACTCAGCAATCAAAAACAAGGAAATCATGAAATTTGCAGGCAAATGGTGGGATCTAGAAAAGATCATCCTGAGTGAAATATCCCAGAAGGAGAAAGACAAACACAGTATATACTCACTTATATATACCTATAAGATATGATAAACATAATGAACTCTATACACCTAAAAAAGATAATCAAGAGAGCGGACATGGGGTAAAATTATCGATCCTCGTTTTGAAAGACAGATGTGATGCGCATTGAACATTGACAGGAGTCTACTGAGCGCATTTGAAAGACTCTAACTAGCAGTGTTTTCAAAGCAAAGACTCATGACCAAACCTTTGGCAGAGTACAGGGAATCATAAGAAAGAAGGGGAGTTAGTCTGATGAGGAAAGGATAGGAGCTTCACAAGGACCAAACATATCTGGGCACAGGGTCTTTTCTGAGACTGACATGCAACCAAGGACCATGTATGAATGTAACCTAGAACCTCTGCTCAGATGTAGCCTGTGGTAGCTCAGTAACCAATTGGTTTCCCATAGTGAGGGGAACAAGGACTATTTCTAACAGGAACTCAATGACTGGCTCTTTGGCCTCCCCACCCCCCCCAAGGGAGGAGCAGTCCTGTTAGGCCACAGAGGAGAGCTTTGCAGCCAGTCCTGAAGATACCTGATAAAACAGGATCAGATGAATGGGGAGGAGGTCCCCCCTATCAGTGGACTTGGCAAGGGGCACAGTGGAGATGAGGGAGGGAGGGAGGGACTGGGAGGGAATGAGGGATCGGGACACGGCTGGGATACAGAGTTAATAAAATGTAACTGATAAGAAAGAAATAAAATTAAAAAAATAAAATAAAATAAAATTATTTTACAAAAAAAAAAAGAAAATCTTCTGCGCTCACTTAAGAAATATGGATACTTTAGAAGTATCCATATGCTTTAAGCCTATCTTGCCTCTCCTGCCACTGTGTTCATTTCCTGTGGCTTCTCTCTGGATCAAATAAGAGTGAGGACTCAAAAGCATACTTAACAGTGTGTAAGACCTCACATTTGCACATGTTAGGAATCTGGTAGATGGTTCAAGGGGCTAGGTCGTGAGGCTCATAAGCCTGCTTTCGATATTTGCAGTGAGCTGGGAAAAGTACAGGATGTTTATCTGTAGGGATTTCATGAAGCATTAATCATTTTGGGAAAACTCTTTTGAGCACAAATGGAATCAGAGCCACAGTGCCATGCACCAAAGAGGGTAACAGAGTACCAAAGAGGATAGATACCAGAGGTTTTTAAGATCTAGGCTCTGGAGACAGTGCTCAATTTCGTTTCACTCTATGTCTCACTAGATTCCTTTTTCCCCCCCTTTAGTCTCCTCTGATGAATTGCTTCCTGTGAAAGTATGCTCTTAGGATAAGTAGCTCCCATGTGTAACAGGGGTTAAAATCTAGCAAATGCTCATTGAGTGCAGCTGTTTCTTTAACTCGGCAATTAGATATTTTAATTCTGAAAAGCAAAGATTGTGATTTAATGTCTTGTGGGTCTTTGTCACTTGGACAGATCATGAGCACATTTTATTTATGTTAGAGCGCAAGTATTAATATATGAATAAACAGAGTTACTGAATATTCCTAAAATATATTGATTTGTAGAAAGAAAAAATCACCTTATAACATTAAAAGCTAAATTTTCCTAATATGATATTATAATTGAAAGTATAGTTTTCAGCAATATCTTTTGTCAAAATTTACATTTGTATGGCTATCAATTTACATGAAATTGCATAGTTATCATTGATGAAATAGTGATTTCTAAGAGCATTAACTCTGGTGAACAATTTTAATGAAAAAGGAGAGCAGAGAAACATGACAAAAATATAAGAGGTTTAGAGAAAATCCAAAGGACAGAAATTACAGACATTCCATAGAGTAGGTTTCAACACATGCTGTACAAGACATTTACGTTCTTTTATTTAAACAAACAAAAAATTGCTTGCCCTATTAGAGCATCAGTTTATGATGGAGAGGATTTCAAAGATGGCCTGAGTGCCCACTGTGAATTCAGTATGAGGCCATGAGTTGATGACATAGAGTAACTAGATGCCTCATTAGAAAAAAAAATCCAGACATTTGAATTAACACAATAAATTTCTGCAATTATTTACTATGGTAAATTTTGATGAGAATAATCAGGAAAAAATTCCAAATTTTTCCAGGCACTCTGATGAAGTGATTTTCGTCATTTTCAGACTGAGGCAAATCTTTAAATTGGCAATAATTTTTAATATAAATTATCACTGTCGTGGGGGCTCACAGAGACTGACAAAGAGCATGCGGGGGCTGGACCTAGGCCCCCTACAATTATGCAGCAGATGTGAAGCTCAGTCTTCAGGTGGGTCCCTAACAGTTGGAGCGTTGGCTGTATCTGACTGCTGCCTGCCTTTGGATCCACTGCCTTGTCTGGCCCCAGTGCGAGAGGATGCACCTAGCCCTGCTGTGACTTGAGGTGCCAAGGTAGGGTGGTACCCATGGAGGTCCTCCCCTTCTTTGAGGAGAAGGGAAGGGGAGTGGGGACAAAGAGATGTGAGGGCGGGACTGGGAGGACAGAAGGGGGGTTTGCACCTAGGCTGTAAAGTGATTAAATAAATAAATTAATAAAAACATCACTATCAATAAAGTAAATAGAAGCGTTGAGTGTAGAAAAAGTGGATCAATAGAAGCATAAACCTTATCAAAGCTGCTTTTATTTTTTAAATGTTAAAATTTATTTAGTTAATTATTTATTAAAATTTCTTCATTTTGTATCCCCACTGTAGTCCCCTCCCTTGTCTCCTCCCTGTCCCTCCCACCCTTTCTCTTTTCCCCTTATGGCCCTTCAGTAGCCCACTGATAGGGGAGGTCCTCTTCCCCTTCTATCTGAACTTAGCCTAGCAGGTCTCATCAGGGCTGGTTGCATCATCTTCCTCTGTGGCCTGGCAAGGTTGCATCCTCCAGTGGGAGGTGATCAAAGAGCCAGCTACTGAGTTCATGTCAGATAGTAGCCCCAGCTCCACTTCCTAGGAAACCCATTTGGAAACGGAGCATCCTATGGGCTTCCTCTGAGCAGGACATCTAGGCCCTCAGCATGCACAGTCCTGGGTTGGAGTATCTGTCTCTGCAGCCCACCCAGGTCCAGGTTTTTTGGCTCTGATGGTCTGCTGGTGGAGTTCCTCTCTCCTCTAGGTCCTTCTATCCCCCTCTTCTTCTATAAGTTTTCCTGCACTCTGTCCAAAGTTTAGCTATGAGTCTCAGTATCTCCTTCGATACCTTGATGGATACCTCTTCCAGAGGTCCCCTGTGGAAGGCTCCTGTCCTCTGTTCCTTGTTTTCTATTTCTGATGTCTATCCTGTTTACCCTTCTGAGTGAGGTTTCAGCCTCTTCCCTATGGACCTCCTTGTTGCCAAGCTTCAACCACTACTTCTGTCTATTGTATTTCCTCTTTGAGTGAGATTTATGCATCCTCACTTTCCACATTGTCTTAGATAACCACCTCCCAGTGGATGCAGCCTTGCCACGCCACAAAGGAAATTGATGCAGTCAGCCTTGATGAGACCTGCTAGGCTAGGGTCTGATAGAAAGGGAGGAGGTCCTCCCCTACCAGGGGACTAGGGAAGGAACATCGAGGGAGAAGAGAGTGGGTGGGTGGGACTAGGAGGAGTTGAGGAAGGGGGTTACAGCGGGGATATAAAGTGAATAAATTATAATAAATATGTAAATAAAGAAATACATTAAAAAAAGAAAAGAAAAAAGAAAAAGAAGCCAACCCCTATCACTGAAATGCTTACAGACAGGAGCCTATTAGAGTTGTCCTCTGAGATGTACTGCCCAGAAATGGTTTAAAACAGATACTGAGATGGAGAACCAGACATTGGATGAAGCATAGGGAATCTGCTAGAAAAGAGGGAAGACGAATAAAAGGACCTGGAGGTGACAAAAGCTCCACAAGAGAATGAATAGAGCCAATCAAGCGGAGCCCAGAAGGGACTATGCAGTCTGAAGCACTAACCAAGGGCAATGCATGGTCTGGATCTAGGTCCTCTACATATAAGTAGCCTATAGGCAGCTTAGGCTTCATGTAGACTCACCAATTAGGGGAACTGAGGTTATCTCTACATGGACTATGTTGCCTGCTTTTTGATCACTTCCTCCTGATGGGACTACCCTACCAGGCCACAGAGGATGAAAAGGAACTCAGTCCTCTTGTGAATAGATGAGCTGGGGTGTCTGGGTAGGGAGTCTTTCCTTTCTGAGGAATAGGTATAGGGGGGAGGATGAGAGACTGGAAGGAGAAGAAGAGGCCTATGACTGAAATTTAAATTAAATTAATTAATAATAGAAAAGAAAAGATTTTGACATAACTATTTGGCAATATTTAGAAGTATTATGTAAAAGTTACTGACAAATAATTCTGGAATTTATCTATTTGGATTACCTTATCTAAGTATAACAATTATTTTGTTATACTTATTTTAACTAAGTATTAACAATTATTTTGTGATACTAGATGATTTATCTTTCCTTATAATTTCTTTAGATAATTTTCTTAGAGTCAAGTAAGAAATATATGCATTTTCCAACCTAATAAAATAAGAACATTATTTAAGCTATGCATTATGAACTAGAATTCACTAATGAATATCTGGAAATATTTCTCAAAGAAAGGAACTTGTAAAAAACAGTTTTGAAAATGTGTTTATAAATTAAAATGAAGTTATTAACTTTGTCTTCAATAAAAATATATAAGGTTATGATAAAAATATATTTATCTTAAGTTTAAATAAAGAAATCCTTAGTTTTTATAATTCTCTCTATCTGCTGAACATTAGTGACATTGTTGTCATTATGAGTGAACATTTTATTTTTAAATGACATTTTTCATTTTTTGTTAAGTTTGATATACTTATATTTTCAATGTAATACAGTTGTGTAAAGTCTTTAAGTGGCTTGTTATCCACATGCACTTTTATAAACTCTTTCTCTTTCGAAATATTAGCTTCATATAACATTATTATGAAAATTACTTTTGGATTATTGATACCAGCATTTCTAATTATCTCAATGTTTGCTGAGTGTTTAATTGCAAAACTATATTGTAAATATATTTGTAAAATAATAAGAGTTTGAAGAGTAAAAGAATATGAAAAATGTACATATCTCTAAAGGAAAGTTAGACTTTATCATCAGCATATGTTTTGTTATAGTTTATTTAAATTGGGAGACATATATTTAGAAGACTGCAACATTACTTACATACACATTGTCAGTGAAGATTCTAGGTAACATCAACATCAACATCACTAGACTTTAGTGATATCTAATTGGGTCAAGTTTTTAACCTTATGTGTTATGTCAATCTTTAGTTTAAAAAACTGCAGCCCTAAGATACAGAGAGATTATCAGCTGATTTGTTCATTTAAGTGAAATGTGAGCACATGATCTCATCTGCTGTCAGCACCTCCTGATGTTTCACTTGGACTTTAAGAGCTCAGGACACAGTTCCACAACATTTAAACAGAGAATTCTCAATAGAAGAATATCAAATGGTAGAGAAACACTTAAAGAAATGTTTAATGTCCTTAGTCATCAGGGAGATGCAAATCAAAACGACCCTGAGATTTCACCTTACACCCATCAGAATGGCTAGGATCAAAAAGTCAAGTGACAACACAAGCTGGAGACGATGTGGAGAGAGGGAAACCCTCTTCCATTGCTGGTGGGAATGTAAACTTGTACAACCAATTTAAAAATCAATCTGGCACTTTCTCAGACAATTAGTAATCAAGATCCAGCTATACCAGTCCTAAGCATAGATCTAAAATATGCTCAACTATGCAAGGACATTTGCTCAACCATGTTCATAGCATCTGTATTCATAATAGCCAGAATCTGGAAAAAAACCTAGATGTCCCTCAATGGAGGAATGGATACAGAAATTGTGGTACATTTACACAGTGGAACACTACCCAGCTATCAGAAACAAGGAAATCATGAAATTTGCAGGCAAATGGTGGGAATTAGAAAAGATCGTCTTGAGTGAGGTAACCCAGAAGCAGAAAGACACACGTGGTATATATTCACTCAAAAGTGATTAGACATAAAATATAGGATAAATATACTAAATCTATACTCGTAAAGAAGCTCAACAGTAAGGAGGAACCTAGGGAAGATGCTCAGTCCTCATTCAGAAGGGAAAACATGATAGACATCAGAAGCAGGAGAAGCCAGAGAACAGCCTACCACAGACAGCCTCTGAAAGACTCTACTAATCGAGGCATTTAAGCAGAGTCTGAGATGCTTAGCCAAACTTTGTGCAGATTGTGTGGAATTTTATGAAAGACTGGGGAGATAGAAAGACCTGGAAGGAAAAGAAGATCCAAAAAGAGACCAACAAAGAAAGAAAAAAAAAGTGGGCTCTGGGGACCCTGTAGAGAATGATACCCCAACCAAGGACCATGCATGACAGGACCTAAAACCATAGCTCAGATGTAGCCCATAGACTCAGTCTCCAAGTGGATAGCCTAGTAAGGGGAGCAGGAGCTGTCTCTGGCATGAACTCAGTGTCTGGCTTTCTGATCACCTCCCCCTGAGGGGGTAGCAGCCCTACCAGGCCACAGCAGAAGAGAATGCATGCAGCCCTGATTTGACCTGATAGAATAGGGTCAGATGGAAAGGGAGGAGGACGTCCCCTATCAGTGGACTAGGGGGGAGCCATCGGGGGAGAAGATGGAGGGCTATGTGATTGGGAGGAGACAAGGGAGGGGGCCACAGCCGGGATACAAAGTGAATACATTCTCATAAATAATAAATAAAAAATAATAAAATATACAACATTGCCACCCTAGAAGCCTCACAGTTATTTTTAATGTGACAAGCGGCTGTATATTTAACTTACCTCTTAAAATTTTGCCAGGTCCTACACCTTCATAAATATCTAACACATCTGTATAATGTGAAATAAAAGATCCAAAGCTGATGCTAATGGAAAGTCCTTGGTTTACACTAAATTAAAAGCAAAAAGAGAGATGTAAGTTATTAAGTTGTGATAAGTCTCAACAGATTCTACAATTTGTGTTTCCCGTTCTCGTGATACAAAACATGTAGGGTAAGCCATCCTGCAAATTTAACCTATTAACTACTATCAGAACATAAACATTTATGACTCTTTCATCTAGCAAAATTGAAACTGCATTCATTAAACAAAATCTTCCCAATACTCTGTTCCTTGGACTGAGTTATATAAATAAGCATGGTTAGCTTATTTCTAGCTTATTTCATTTTGAAGCCTCAAGTTTCAATCATAAAGTATGGATAGGAAACCCTTCCTTTTCTGGGCTGAATAACAATGTTCTGCAGTATGTACATCCCGTATTCACTCTACTTCTTCTTCTAATCGTGGAAAATCAGTTTCTAGCACCAACAGATTCCTGTGAATATTGCTGACATGGTCAAGAAATCACAATATCTTTTTATATTCTGATTCTACTCCCTTTATATAACCAGGGCTGACTCACAAATTGAAAAAAAAATCTATATAGAATTTTTATAAAAGAAGCACCATTCACTATATTTCTCCTATCAAAGAACAAAAGTTCCAATTTTCCCCCTTTTGCCAGCACTTATTTTGTTATTTTATATAGTGACCATACCACCTGCTTTTAGTAAATGCTCTCAGTGGTGCTGATTTCATCTCTTTTACTATTGGGTAGATTAACAATCTTTTTTGTGTAATTGTCCATTTCTGTGTATGGGTTGATGTTTTGAAAAGCCTTTTATCCATTTTTATGATATATATGTCATGAAGAGACACATTTGTTAAATTAAAAACCATTTATGTGCATGGATGTTTTACCTGTATGTTTGTCTGTGCATCACCTGTGTGCATCACCTGTGTGCATCACCCGTGTGCCTTCTGCAGGTGGAGGGCAAAAGTTTATCATATGCTCTGGAACTGGAGCTCCAGATGGTTGTGAGATGCCATGCAAGTACTGGGAATCTAACCCAGGTGTTTCCCAAAGGAACAGAAAACTCTCTTAACTGCTGAGCCTCCATGCTGTTAATTTTTAATCAAGCTGTTATTATTTTCTAAGGCATTACAGGATTTTTTTTTTATGGTTTTAGATGTTTAGTCACTAGAAATGTAGATGATTATGAAATAATTTCATGTATTTGAACCTGTGTTCCTTCCATTTTAATATGTCCTTTGCTTTATGGAAGCTGTTGATTTGGGGGTAATTTTATTAACATGCTTGCTTGCAATGCTTGTGTCATTTCACATTTATGAAATGATTGTCAAGACAAGTGATAATATTTTTTGTTGTATTTTCTTCTGTTTTTTTTTTATTGTGGCTTTGCATTTTCTGTGTATATCATTCTTCTTGTGCAAAAATATCATCAATATTTTGTTAGAGATCGTATAGGATCTGGAAACCATGAACATTTAGAAAAAATACTGTCTTCTAATTTACATGGAATAGGTTACCTATAACCTTATTATATTAGTGAAAATATTATCCTCATACTTGTTATCTTGTTGACCATAATTTATATACACTATTATATGATCCTGGATTAGACACTATCGGTGTAACTTCTAGAAATAGTTCATAGCAAGAAACAAGATGTGCTCATTGAAAAGTTTCAGTTTGATGAAGGTATTATGCTGCAGTAATAAATTCATAAGGCTACAGAAGTAAGTAGGTATGTCAGAAAATGTATGCTCAGAGTTGCTTGATGTCCACAGGAATATTATACAGGCAAATAGATTAAGTTGGAGTAAAGTAGCCCCAGCCCAGACTGAGAGGAAGAACACCAGCTGAAGGTGTTGGCTTCTTATTTAATTTTGGTTTTGCTAGGGCAGTTCAGAGAAACTTTGAATTAACCTACCAGTAAGATCACTGAGAAAAAAAAATCACTGGGGAAGCTAGTGTCAATCCTGAAGAAGACAGAAAGTGCAAAAAGACATTTGCAAACTTTTAATTGATAGGTGTCAAGCATGTTTAGCTTATTATATAATATAACTGATCCCATAGTTATAGATTCTGAAACATATGGATCTGAAAATTTGGGGTCAAAGAATTTTATTAATGTTCACAAGCGCACACATCTTGAATCCATTCTGAAGAGGCTAGATGTGAAAACACATTTCTGAACAATGGCAAGGGGCTAAATGCAGTTGGCAAGGTGCTAAATGCAGTTATCAATTTCAAGGTGGGCAAACAGTGTTCCAAATATTTTACTGGTACATTAAACATGTTCTCTTTACTTAATCAGTCCTCTAAGCTTGTATAAAATTCATTGTATTTTCCCCATATTTTGATCCTTGATGTTGTGTGTGGATCACTATGCAATGTGGTAACTGCATCTCTCACAGAGTAACTAGTTTTGAAAAGAAAAAAAAGTTAAATGATTTATTTGACTAATTAAGTCTGATCATGTCTAAAATTTATTTTGAGGTAATATTTTAGACCCCAGTATACCACTGCTTTTTGTTAGAAACAAAGCTTTTCTTGACACAGAGTATTTTTTCAAGTTAAGATTAAAAGAGGAATTTTGAATTGGTCTATCAGCTGGTAGTTAATAAGTATTTATTTTAAACAGCATAGAGAGGGAAAATATTATGTCAGAAGATTTTCAGACTCAAGAGCAGTACATAAGCAGAGGTTTCTTACCGAATGATCCAACGGCAAACAACACCTGATTTGTCTGGCTTTGGAAAACGATCAGCTTGGAAAGACCCAGAATTTCCAGTCAACAGAAATCGTCCATCACAAGCTGTGGCTGCATGAATAGGTAATGTTAGCTTTAAGAAGTCTTGGAATTGTAGGGATTAATTAATTCACCCAAAGTCTCTTGGTTCATAAACAATATTCACAGGAGGCTTCTTTCTCTATAGGCCTTTATCTGCAATTACCACAATACCGTACATCAAACAAGCAAAAGTAAATTAAAAATGTCTATCTTTTGCAACGTTCTTAAACACTAATACAGGCCATGTCAGTAGGAGCATTAAAACAGGAAGGGAGTAAAATTTAAAAAAAAAAAAGGAAAAAATCACATTAAATACTTGTAATAACTATTTACTATGCTGAGGGAATGTAGATATTCTTCAGATTTATTCCTGACATATTTGTAGAGAAAGAGAATCGACAGTGTCATGTTGTACAAGTAGAGTGATAATTTTTCAAAGAGCTGAGAGTCTTCTGTGTTTTTTATACCCTGTTGCTGCCTCTTCATGAACAAATAACTTTTCTGTACGTCCTGAAATGCCTCACGATAATGTGGAGCCATATGACTGAGTTGCATAAGCAGCTCTTCTTTAACTAAATTGTGTTTGTTTCCACATGTCTCCTTGCCTGTGAACAGTTTATGAAAGAGCCAAGTAAGAGAGGTGACAGACAGGAAACTGACATTTCTAATGCCTAGGCAAGTGTCTGGGACTGATTTAAGAGGACCGTTATTGTCTTAAGTGTAGGGTTTTGTAACATGGTATCTAGCCTGTTCTAAAGAACATGATCAATTTTTTGTCTACTTTATATGAATCTTCATGTTTTTATCGTCATTAAATAATCTTACTCGGGTGCAAATAGACCTTGCTAGTTTCTGAATAGAAATAAAATTATGGAATATTCCTGAAATCATTTAAAATTACAACATTATTAAACTGTTTACAATAACAATGGTCAGGGTGTCAAAAATATCATGTCAGAAAATGGAGGACTGGGTGGAGAGTACTATGTTTTCTTTACACGGTGTGTGCAAAGAAGGCAAATTTACAGCTGTCAGTGAAGCAAGACAGGTTCTCAGGATTAAAAAAGAATTAAAAATATATCTCGACTATGAAGAAGAAGAATGTTTAGAATTTTGATTCTGTGAACTTCTAGGTGTCTCCTAGAAGAGCACTAGAGTAAATGCTGAGTGGGAAGCAAATCAACCTGCAAAGGGCAGGAGCCATCCTGCTAGCCTGCATTCACAGTCGCTCTGATGGCATGAGCTTGGGGTCGACCACGAGCTCCCTCTGCTGGATCAGAATCTATGGATCCTGTCTTTCTTAGGCCAGGAAATAGGAATTAAATGTGGTCTATGGAGAGACACTAAAGAATACTGTGTGCACTCATTTGAGCATGCAAGTTACAAGAACACTTGCCAACTTGGAAAGAGCACCACACCTTGGCCTAAGAATTGTGAGTCAGCATCAGTTCTCTACATAGGTCAGCTAAAATGTAAAATTTCTTGCTGATGCAATTCTAATCAGAAGAGAAACACAATTTAAAGAAATCTTATTTTAGCTATCGTCAGCTATAAGTTGTACAAACCTAAATAACCAAAGACTAAATACAGAAACTCAGTACGGAAGCAGTCATTAATATGACTCTATTAATAACACAAACTAGATTCAGAGCTCACAGCTGGGGTAAGATCAATAAATAAGCGAGAGATCAAAGGTCAACGTCTTACAGAGAAAATTCTTAAACCAGCTTATGAATTTTTCTCTGAGTATGGATTGGTGCAGAGGGGCTTTGAGACGGTGCTTGCTGATAAGCATTGGGGTTGGTGCTAAAGGGATGTCTGGGGCTCAGAGCCTCACTCCTCTCACTAATTAAAATGAATAAGACCACCTGTGCCCTGAAACACTTGCTACCAGAAGATAGTTGATTTGATTGATTTTTCTGCTATCTTGTTTAAAAAATGATTTGAAGCTATCTTTCAGAAATAAAAACAATGCTAGCTTTCTAATACAATATAAAAGAATGGATATAATAAACACACAAAAACCTGAGTCCCTTGAAAGGTTGATGATGTTAAGGTTTAGTAAATATAAAGCCACTCTAATACTGAATAAAAAAGAATCAAGCACGTTGTCATGTGTTTAAAACAAAGGTAGACATTTAATTTACGTACTGAGCCTCATCTTGTAACTTGGGAAAATAATTTATTACGTTAAAACTTATTTGAGGGTAATTTATCATCCTTATAGTATTAGTCTTATGATTACTTTTTGATATAAATGGTTATCAACTTATTTTGAAAAATGATTAACTCAATGAGGTTAGGGCCAAACAAACTTAACTGATTTGCCTAATGTTGTTATATAATTTTCTACTTTTTAAAGTTGTTGATCAGTGCTACACAGTTCTAAAACTATAATGTCTAACTTTCACATGGATTATTGTTTTGAAACAGAAGTCAGCATCATCAGTTTTTCTTCTTGGTGGCATGCTTTGCTTATATTCTAATGGAAAGGGTTTGAAAAATGCCCTCCCAAACCCCACTATATCAACATTACCATCCTTCTCTTTGAATAACATAGTTATATAAAATGATTAAAAAATATTCCATAAACATGCATATTTTCCACTACATGACAACTGTATTTCAAAGTTCAACTTTGTGAATTTGAATTTATCCAAGAACATTTGAATTGGGATTACTCAATAGAAAAATTTTACGTTTAGGTGGTTTTTTGAGTTGTTGCTGGGAAACAGACATAGGGTCTGTCTTATGAAGCACGGACCTAGTAGATAGGTAATTTCTCTAACCTAGCTCTTTATTCAAATCTTCATCTTTAACTAGTGTCAACGAATATAAGAACACAGTAGTAACAACCAAGGAAATTGCAGACCTAAAACCCTCCCAGAATTAACAGTGTCCACCATCAACTTTAAAAGGTCATAGAGTGTACCAGTAGTACACAGCTGGACTGCAACCTCAGCACTCAGGAGCCTTTGGCAGGAGCATCATAATAGTGAACTCGAGGTCAGACCCTCTCTCAAAAAGGAAGAAACAAGGAAAAAGGAAAAAGGTAGATTCTGGATCACTCCTAAAAACAGGCTTACCTCAGACTTCTCATTAAGTTTTCAAAAATTACTTATAGGTTAGGCTTAAGTTAATGGTATTTTTTATTGCTTGCAATCTGAATTTACACTTCCAGGATATTAGGTGGCATACGAAAATAACGCTATTTGATCTGATTTTTTTTTCTGGAAAGCTTTTTAAAATGAAACCAAAGCGGGATGAAATATAAATCAAAGAGACTCCATTTAGATTATCCAGATGAACGTTTGGTGTTGTGCACGTGCTAGTTGTGTTCACTAATAGTGCAATTAAAATGAGAACAACCAGAACAGATAACAGAACATCAGTTTGTTTGTTTTTCCAGAACATTAAGGTTTACTCGTGACTGTTTGTACTTCTTATAGAACTGTAAGAGGCAAAGAAAAGAAATGAGGAACAGTGATAATGCTCACTGATTCGATGCCCTGAAGTAAGGGTAAAGGGAATGATATACCACGGTGGTGAAAAATCCTGAAATAGAATTATACTAGTACTTCTTTTTCCTAAGATCAGGGTAGTTTAAAGCAAAGGTGAGATGAAAAACAGTGACATTCCCTCCCTACCTAAACGATGTGTGACTGGTCACAGCATTCTTTATTGTGTTCTCAGCATTCTTTACAGTGTTCTCAAATGGATTATCAAATTAAGTTTAAAAATAGCGTAATTTTTAGATTTGGCATTAAGTTATGCATATGGTTATTGTAATCAGTCAGTTTTGTCTATTTTCAGATATCTGTGTGTGCATGCATGTGTGTACATATAAATGTATATGTGCGTGCATGTGCTTATGCAGTGTGTGCACGGATGTATTTCGTGTGTGTGTGTGTGTGTGTGTGTGTGTGTGTGTGTGTGTGTGTGTGGTCGTGGTGGAAAAAGGATGAAGACTAGTAAAAGCAGGTGGGTGGTCTTACCACATAGTCCAGTATCTTCATCTGAACCATCCGGACAGTTTGCTTCTCCATCACAGAACAAATCAGTTGCTACACAGTTCCAAGTATTAGCACAGGGCCGTGAACCCGGCTGGCACTCTACTGGGTTATTGCCTTAAAAAGCAGATTCAAATTGTAAGCTTTTGAACAGTAACTTTCTGAATGGTTGTCTATAAACAATGGCTGAATATTGCTTGTGTGTTTTTCATCACTCTTGCTTCATAATAGATTGATGAAAAGAAATAAACATTTATTTTGTTTAATGAATCAATCATTCCTAAAATTCAAAGCATTCTGAATGTTACAAAATAAATATTTTTCAACATTCACACCCCTCCAGAGTGCTAGAACATACTCTGTCTGCCCCAGAGCTTCCACTCTGTAGCTCTCAATTTGTTCATCCTTCAGTTGCCCTGCTTCCATGGATACGGTATAGGAACATGCCAAGACACACAAAATTCTAGAAGTTTACTTTGAAATGTTAAGTGTGATCCTCAGAAAAAGACATATTCTTACATGCCTATATGATAATAGGTATTTTGTTTTCAGAACAGTATAGAAATTTGAATATTTTTGTTTGTAATTAGAGTATCAATGATGCTTTAAGGGTTCTTGAAACATTTAACTTCCTAACATTTGTTTTGCTATTGTTCCTAACTTTTAAAAATGTTTTTACTTTTTATTTGTGCTTTGAAAATATCATATATGTATATAATATATTTGATCATTTGTACCACTAATTCCCCTCCGGCTTATCCCTGAATCCCCCAACATGTCTTCTTCCCAACTCAAAATATTTTTCTCTTCTACTAGTGAGTTCTGTTAGCGCTGATAGTATGTGCAAGGAGTAGCCAAATCCACTGGCATTCTTACCATGAAAGAAAACACTGTACTGCCATCTGCTGGAGCATAAAACTATAAAAAATGAATTCTGCAATTTCTTATGCTCTATAGAATCAATAGGAAAAATCAAATATTTGTATCAATGTATACACCAAGCTAAATCTTGCTTGAGGACATTTATAGACAGGGTTGGTGGCTATGTATACAACTAAATTAGACTTTTAAAAACCGGTTCTGATTAAAACAAAAATAAACCATTGGGAAACTAATGAAAAAGTTAAAGTAAAAATTAACATAAAGATCAGAGCTATTTTCAAATGATGGAATTCTCTTATGTAATAAAATTAAAATAGAAATATATTTATTAAATATAAATGCACATTATACCTAAAATATAAGAGCTATTTATCAAGCAAGTCATTTCATTGCTGTGTCCCAACTCACAATGACATAATATTTGATAGTATGTCATAAACACTTGGGTAAATAAGCAGGTGAAAAAAGTATTTACTTCCACCTCTGCGTTATTTTACCAGAGGCCCATAAGGTTCTATGTACTCAGTGCTTGGAAGACCACATTTGGGATCACAGTTAGGAAGAGAAGTGACTTTTGGCGATCCTGATGCTGGCTGTGGATCTTTGCTTCCTGAATCTCTATGTGTATCTCTATTATCTGTTGACACTCGAAAGCTTCTGTGACAGGAGATGTGCTCGGGACCCTTTGGTTTTTGTGCTGAGTGGTTCTATGTCAGCTTTACTCAGTCTGGAGTCATTTGAAAGAATAATGTCCTCAAAATACTGGTCTATGAACAAGCCTGCAGTACATTCTATTAATCAGTGATTGTTGTTGAGAGGGCCCAGCCCATTGTGGGTGGTGCCATGCCTGGGTAAGTGGTATATAAGACATCAGGATGAGAAGCTCTTGGGGATTAAGCCAGCAAGCAGCACTTCTCCATGGCTTCTGTATCAGTTCCTGCTTCCCACTTCCTGCTCTGCTGGGAGCTGACTTCAGTGATAAATGTCCGTGATAGACTATGATGTGGAACTGTAAGCTGAAATGCACCATTTTCTTTCCCAAGTTGCTTTAGGTAGTGCTGTTTTATCATACCAATAGGAATTCCTACTGAGGCAATTCCTTTAGTGATCATTAATTCATGCTTTTATGGCTACTTATATCATGGAATTCTACAGGGTGGAGACATAAGGTGAAAGTAGAAAAAGAATGTGGCACATCACAGCCTCTGTTCTCACAGATCTTGATGTGAGGAAATAGTTCACTAATCATTTTCATATTTTTTTTTAGACAGGGTCTCTGGATAAGGCTGTTCTCAAACCCTTTATGTAGCTAAATGTGACCTTGACATTTTGATTATATTGCTTCCATTTCCAGAATGTCGAGTTTGTAGGTGTATACCACCACACAGGTATGAAGGTGTATACCACACACATAGGTATGAAGCTGTGAAAAGTAACGACACAGGGCTGAGAAGGAGGTAACGGCTCTACCAGCTGAGCTGCATGCTAATTATTTTTCGTGAGTTGTTGAGAGCGCGGTGAATGTACTGGGGATTAAGCAGACATTAAAACCATCTTCTTAAGATAATCCATATTTCTATTGGATTCTGAAGAATTCCTAGAAGTAATTGAAATAGACGAGTGTGGTATATACGCGATGGCATGACAGGATGACACTATAAGACACACAGACATGTCTAATTTATCTAGATGTGATGATTCCAGGACCATGCCATGGAAGAATGAAGAAGACTTAGAAGTATGAAAATAGCCTTTTCTCAAATGAAGACCACAATATTCTTGTTAATGGATAAAATCCCTGGCTTGAGAAATTCAGTCAGGGCAAAATTCTCCCTAGATTCACTTGGCCCACCAACATGTCCTTTATAAAGAAAAAGAAAAAGAAAAACAGCTCATTACTTTCCCTCTTCAATCCCCAAATTCTACCACATAGTAGAATAGGGGCAAGATATTGCATTCTGTGTGAAACAGAGAAATCCCATAGTATTGAAACGTCTGTGTTTCTGAAATCATTGCCTGCACAGTCAGCAACAAAGAACTAGAACACGCTACAGTGTAGGAAGCCTTCAAGCATATGAGCAGTGCCCCGAAGAGCCCCTCTAGGCACACTGCAGCAGCCAAGAAATCAATGTGTGTAAAGCTATTGTAGCCCCTGTCGCTCTCCTCTAGTGCTCCAAATTGGTTAGTAAAACTTTAGAGTAATTGGCAGCAAAGGCAGCTGCACAAAAGAACATAATCCACATGGACTTTTTACCTGTTATCATATAAAAATTCTCTTTGGCAGAATTTATTATAGTACTAATGCCTGGTATATGATGCATGTGTTTGTTGATTTTTCTCAAATTCTATCTTCAAGGCATATAAAATTGAGAATAAACTTAACATCCCTGAAAGACATATTCATAATAAATTACTGCTCAGAAAGTGCAGTTTTCAAGTTTAATTGCCTTGTTCCTCTCAATAAATCTATAGTGTCTTGCTGCATGAGAGGAATAAATGTGAGGTATGATTCAGGGTTCATGTGCTACATGAACTTAATGCAATCGAGAATATTGTATATCACTACCTAGTTACCTTACAATAATTGCTTGTATATAATTAAGACAATTCAATGCAAAGAAATAGTTGGATAAAATATTTTGTTGATGCATAAGTTACCAGGTTTAAATGAACACCACCAATTTAAAATCATGTTTAAAATACAGTATTAAAAAAAATCTCTCCTCTATAACAATAAGCAGTTGCTGTTTTTATTATTACTATTATTTTGATGAAAGTCAGTAGGAAAATTGACCTAATTAATTTTGGTTCCATCCTCCACTGTGTGGATTGCTTTGCTGTCCACAGTGGAATGGTATCTGAATATTTTCTCTTTTTATTCTTAGTCTACTTTTTAGTAACAAAAAATATCTAGGCACCATCTCAGTCATTTATTTCAATATTTATATTCTTTGTAATGTTTATAAAGTACTAAGATAATATATAGATTTCTAACTATCTAAGGAGTAGTTGGTAGAGTTTGGTCAATGAGTAAATCAGACAATATCATATCAAGAATGAAAAATGTTATATAAAATTTTTATGTAATGTTAAAAATTGTAAACTAGAGCTTTGGGCATGCTTGATAAGTTCAGTACCTTTGAAAAACATCTCCACATTTTATATTAGTTTTTCATTCTTATCTTAAATATCACTTGCTTATGTTCAAAAAGAAAGATGAGCCCAAGTGTCTATTGTCTATTGACTGTATCCTTTTAATTTAAATCATGGAAAGGTTCATAAGGGTATTTTACTTTGTTTTCTGTTCTGTCTTTCCCGACATTCTTTTTCCCACAGAAGGCACTGGCATTCACTAAACTGTGTTTCACAATACTATAAGTTTATGACATTTTGTATAGTGCTCAATTTTACCTGCAGTTTTAGGCATCTACTGGGGTCTTAGAATTTTTGAACAACTGGGAGAGAAGAATTGGAGATTGAGTTTCTGACATTGCTGATTTTACTTAAATGTTGGGGAACACTTGGGTCATTTCATTTACCTTGAAGATTAAGTCAAGGCCAAAGGCAAATCTGGTCATTGTGACCACCAAAGTCTGAGCTGAACAAGGATGACACAAAAAGATATGCCAAATTTAACAACAACAACAACAACAACAAAAACCCTCAAGCCCTCAACCCTATGCCAAAAAATAAATAAATAATAAATAAATAAATAAAATAAAAACTGCAGAAAATTGAGAGTGGAAAAGTGATCCTCCCCAGAGAAATGAACACTAATTTGTCGCTGAATGCCAAATGGTAAGTTCTGAAAACACACGTAACGTTATATGTACTCAAGTAACATTATATGTACTCAACAAGTTATATTTTGAAATATGTGTGTGAGTTTGTGCATCTATATGAAAAAAACATATGCATTCAATAACAGTGAAAAAGATTCATCAAATACAAGGAGGGTAGAAAGATGTACAAGGGGGGTGGAGGGAGAAAAGGGAAGGGATACATGTTGAAATTAAATTATAATCTCAAAAAATAAACAGGAAAAGCACAATGAGAAAATAACTAGGATTCTAGAGAAAACGGCACTTGAAGGATGGATATGAGGAGGGCAATAGAGCTCAGAGTAAAGACGCTTGTTCTCAGTCTGATGGTTTGAATGTGATCACTGGGACCCACATATGGAATGAGAGAACTGACTCCCACAAGTTGTCCTCTGACATCCTCATGCAGCCCATGACACATGTGCCATTCTATCTATGGAATTAATAAAACAATACTTATAAAAATAGCAGCCTACGAACTACCTTATGGTACACTTTTCCTGAAAACAGTTGACCAAGTGTATCCAGCAGTACCTCATTACTGGTGACAACAGTACCACATTAACAGAACAACCCTGTGGAAGTTGTATGCAGAGAACGCAGTCAAGAGAAGGTAATTTAGTGTCTGATCACACTGTAAGCCTTTCCAGAATAGGCTTCAGTCCCAGTGACTACATCCTTATCAAATGGTCATAACCATAGTTTTAAAAATCAGAGTGCAAGAGTAAAGCCAGACAATGCAGGTCCTAGCCCCCAATATACAACCATGCTGGTGAAATTTTATGCTTCAGCTATAAACTATTAAGTCCATTTCGTTTTTTTTTAACTTTAGAGAGTATTATTAAACTGCTAAGGCATCAGATAATTTCCAGATAATAGCAAAAACTTGTATATATATTGTTAGTAAGACTTACTTGAAGTCACCATAGAAGTGCTGATTATTAATTTATCTGAAAAAATAAGTAAAATGAAGATGATTTATACATTTAAGTGAATACTAGCTATTCATTATATGTTTGCCCTGTATAATATTTTACCTTGTTGTAAATTATTAGTACATGATACTGATTATGTATTATTTTATTCAAACCTAGAGATATAGATTTATGTTATTTTATTTTTTACAGCTATTATTAGTTGATAAACAGTTGTGCATATTTATAGCAATCAATGTGACTCTGTAAGAACTGACCTGAAGTTATTGCCGCAAAATTACTGTTGAGAAGTTACACAAAGGTGCTAGAAGAAAGCAGAGTTGATTTGATACTCCTGGGTTATAATATAAGTTTGGGCTGGAGGTGTGGCTCAGCTGTTAAAGGCTAGGATCACAATCAAAATTATAATACAAGTTTATTGTCAATCACAGATACAGTGTGAATCGCTTTTCATCTGTCATCTGTGTTGTTTTTCTTTTTGCATTTTTAGCACATATGTAGAAAGGCTATTAATAGCCAATGTAAGTTGTAGTGGACTGCAAAGATAAGTGATATTAAAATAATTATCACATATATTAATAAAGGGTTATGTGAACTATTTAATGTTTCATCCAATGGGGGCTGGAGAGATGATGACTCAGTAGTTAAGCATGTGTCACTCTTGCAGAGACCTTGATCTCCTTCCCAGCAGCCACACAGTGGTCTCCAACCATCTATAACTCTACTTCCCAAGGATAGAGCACTCTCTTCTGACCTTCATGGCCATTGGACGTGCAGGTAGTATGCACACAGATAAGAAGGCAAAACATTCACTCCTTAAATAAATAAAATAAGGGGGACAAGATGGTGGTGCCAGGAAAACACTGTGTCTGAGGAGCAGGACAACATTTTCCATACAGCAACCAAGAGACTAAATTCTGGTCCCTAAAACAACAGCAATCGTGTTTCCCAGGTGAGAGGAAACCCCTATGGCATGGAATCAGTCCGATCCACGCTCAGGTCACCCAGCCAGAACCCGGAAGAGATTCAGGGTTGCACAGGCACTAGGTCTCCAGACCAGAGCCACAGGTCTGTGTGTCCTGATCACCTTTCCAGGCTGAACGGTGGGCACAAAGAACACCAGAGACTATGAGTTCCAGTCATGAGAAAACCCCACAGGGAAGGAAGGAAATGGTACTGACTTGGGTCATCCAGTCTTTTCCCTGGAAAAAGTCTCACAGACCAGTGGGTACAAGCCAACATCACTGAACTGGGCACCAGCCGCAAGCACAGATAGCTGCTGTGCACCCAGCTCTCCAGTGCAGACAGAGCTGTGTGCCCCAGGGCACCAGAGACTGGGAGTCACTGTTGGGAGAAATCCTCACAGGGAACGAAGCAAAGAGGATGGACTTAGGCCACCCAGTATATCCCTGGAAAATGTCCCGCAGACCAGCCCAACCCAGGAACCTGCTGTGCACCAGATAGCCTGCTGTTACCAGGAGAGCGGTACTCATGTGCCAAACTCAGACTTACAGAAGCCGGGAATCCCCAAGATCAACCCCCAGATACTGTTCCAAGGGGCAACCAATTATCCCTAACAAAACTGACAAAACCATGGGATACACAGGTTACAGCAGCAGATCACTAAATTTACAGCAAGAAACCCAGAAGCAGGGCAGATGATTCAGGACTTCTCTGGGTGAGAGGAGAGCCCTCTCAATTAACAAGGACCACAGTTACCACTCAGGTCTCTATGCCTGAGGTGAGCAGCAGCAACTCCTGAAAAACACTGGCCATCCAGTGACTATACCCAAAAAGCTGAGAAGGCTTCCTTCAGGAAAAACCATCTTCCTGCCAAGGGGATTCTTTCCACCACAGGATTCCAGGAAACACCAGAAACTAACTCTAAACACCTAAGATAGCCCAATGGGGAGAAGCCAGCTTAAAAGCTCAACCAACAAAAGACAGAGCAATATGGCAACTCCAAAACCCAGTTATCCAGGGTCAAGTAGCCCTGGACACCCCAGCATAATTGAAATTCAAAAAGATGACCTAACATCTGTGCTCATGAAGAGGATAACAGAGGAAACAAATAAAATATGTGAAGACCTAGAGGAAGATAAAAACAAACAGATTATGGCCATCCTGAATGAAATACAGGAAGTTGCAGCCAAACAGTTTGTGGTCTTTAGAGAGTAAATGCTTAAGTCCTAAAAGAAATAAAAGAAACAAAGGATTGTTCAAACAAACAGCTGAAGGAATTGAAGGAAAAACAGGAAAATACAGTCAGACAGGTGAAGGAAATAAACAAAACAGCTCAAGATCTGAAGATAGAATTGGAAAAATTAAAGAAAACACAAATGGAGGAAATTCTGGAGAGAAAGAACATAGGGAAGAAACCAGGAACTACAGAGGTTAGCATAACCAATAAACTGCAAGAGATGGAAGAAAGAATCTCAGGTGTGGAAGATACAATGGAAGAAATAGATGTATCTGTCAAAGAAAATGTTAAATCTAAAAAATTCGTGACACAGACCATCCAAGAAATTCAAGACAACATAAAAAGACAAAACCTAAGAATAATAGGAATAGAGGAAAAAGAAGATTCCCTGCTCCAAGGCCCAGAAAATATTTTCAACAAAATCATTGAAAAAAACTTCCTCAACTTAAAGGAGAGGCCAATAAGAATGTAAGAGGCCTACAGAACACCCAATAAATTAGACCAGAAAAGAAAATCCTCCCGCTGCATAATAATCAAAACAGTAAGTATACAGAACAAAGAAAAAATACTAAAAGCTGCAAGGGAAAAAGACCAAGTAGCATATAATGGCAAACCCATTAGAATCACACCTGACTTCTCAACAGAGACTATGAAAGCCAAAAGGGCCTGGATAGATATCATGCAGACAGACCCTAAGAGAATCTAAAAGAACACAGATGTCAGCCCAGGCTACTATACCCAGCAAAACTCTCAGTCCTCATAGAGAGAGGAAACAAGATATTCCATGACAAAAACAAATTTCAAGAATACCTACACAGAAATCCAATGTTACAGAAGACACTAGCATGGAAAATACAACCCAAGAAAACTATCTACTTTCAAGAAAACACAGAAAATAATTAACCTCACTACAGTAAAGCAAAAAGCAACCAAGCACACAACCTTATGACCACAACCAACATCAAAATCAAAGGATCTAACAGCGACTGGTCATTAATCTCTCTCAACATCAATGGACTCAACTCTCCAATAAAAAGACATAGACAAACAGAATGGATGTGTAAACAAAACCCAGTAATCTGTTGAATACAAGAAACACACCTAGGTCACAAAGATAGACATTACCTGAGGGTAAAGCATTGGAAGATGGTTTTCCAATCAAATGGACCCAAGAAACAAGCAGGAGTAGCCATTCTAATATCTGATAAAATAGACTTTCAACCAAAATTAATAAAAAGAGATGAGGAAGGACACTTCATAATCATCAAGGGAAAATTCCACCAGGAAGACATCACAATCCTGAACATCTATGCCCCAAATAAAAGGGCACCCACATTTGTAAAAGAAACATCGATAAAATTTAAACCACATATAGATCCCCACACATTAATAGTGGGAGACTTCAACACCCCTCTCTCAACAAAGGACAGGTCAACAAAACAAAAATAAACAAAGAAACAGTATCTCTAACAGATGCTACGAAACAAATGGACCTAACAGACATCAACAAAAACCTTACACCCAAACAAAAAGAAAAATTACCTTCTTCTCAGCACCTCATGGAACCTTCTCCAAAATAGACCATAAGGTTGGTCACAAAGAAAGATTCAACAGACACAAGAAGACTAAAATAATCCCTTATATCCTATCTGATCACCATGTACTAAAGCTGGACCTCAACAACAGAAACAGCAAAAAGCCTAAACACACATGGAAACTGAACAACTTGCTACTAAATGACATCTGGGTCAGGGAAGAAAAAAAGAAAGGAATTAAAGTCTTCCTAGAATTCAATGAAAATGAAGACACAACATACCCAAACTTGTGGGACACCATGAAGGCAGTGCTAAGAGCAAAGTTCATAGCTCTGAGTGGCTTCAAGAAGAAATTCAAAACATATCATCCAAGCAACTTAATGGCTTACCTAAAAGCCATAGGGGGAAAAAAAACATAATAAAACAGACAAACAAACAAACAAACAAACAAAAAACAGACACACTGAAAAGGATAGTGGAAATAACAAAACTCAGGGCTGAAATCAATAAATTAGAAACAAATAAAACACTGCAAAGAATCAATGAAACCAAGAGCTGGTTCTTTGAGAAAATCAACAAGATTGACAAACCCTTAGACAAACTAATTAAAGGCAGAGAGACACTATCCAATTAACAAAATCAGAAATGAAAAGGTGGACATAACAATAGACTCTGAGGAAATCCAAACAATCATTAACACATATTTCAAAAGTCTATATGACATAAAATTTAAAAATCTAAATGAAATGGACAGTTTTCTTGATCTATTCGACTTACCAAAGCTGAGTCAGGACCAGGTAAATCAACTAAATAGTCCTATATCCCCCAAGGAAATAGACGCTGTCATTGAAAGCTTCCCATCCAAAAAAAAAAGCCCAAAACCAGATGGTTTCAACGCAGAATTCTACCAGAGCTTCAAAGAAGAGCTAACTCTGGATCTCTTCAAACTATTTCACAAAATAGAAACAGAAGGAACATTACCAAACTCATTCTATGAAGCCACAATCACCTTGGTACCTAAACCTCACAAAGACTCAACAAAGAAAGAGAATTTCAGGCCAATCTCCCTTTTGAACATTGATGCAAAAATACTCAACAAAATACTTGCAAACCAAATACAAGATCACATCAAAGATATTATCCACTATGACCAAGTAGGCATCATCCCAGGTATGTAGGGGTGGTTCAATATACGGAAATCCATAAATGTGATCCACCATGTTAACAAACTGAAAGAAAAAAAACACATGATAATCTCCCTAGATGTTGAAAAAGCATTTGACAAAAATCCAACATCCATTCATATTTAAAGTATTGGCGAGATCAGGGATACAAGGCATGTATCTAAACATAGTAAAGGCAATATACAGCAAGCCTACAGCCAACATCAAACTGAACGTAGAGAAACTTAAAGAAATCCCACTGAAATCAGGGACAAGACAAGGCTGCCCACTCTTTCCATAGTTCAACATAGTTCTGGAAATCCTTGCTAGAGAAATAAGACAGTTGAATGAGATCAAGAGGATACAAATTAGAAAGGAAGAAGTCAAATTATCACTATTTGCAGATGATATGATAGTATACCTGAGTGACCCCAAAAACTCTACCAGGGAACTCCTACAGCTGATAAACACCTTCAGCTAAGTGGCTAGATACAAAATTAACTAAAAAAAAAAAATCAGTAGCCCTCCTATATACAAAAGGCAAAAAGGCTGAGAAAGAAATTAGGGAAACAACACCCTTCACAATAGCCACAAATGACATAAAGTACCTTGGTCTAACCCTAAGCAAGCAAGTCAAAGACTTTTATGAAAAAAAAAAAATTCAAGTCTCTGAAGAAAGAATTAGAAGAAGATATGAGAAGATGAAAAGATCTCCCATGCTCATGGCGTGGCAGGATTAACATAGTAAAAATGGCCATCTTACCAAAAGCAATCTACAGATTCAATGCAATTCCCATCAAATTACCAACACAATTATTTACAGACCAGGAAATAAAAATTCTTAACTTCATATGGAATAAAAAGAAAGCCAGAATTGCTAAAACAATCCTCTACAATAAAAGATCTTCTGGAGGTATCTCCATCCCTGATCTTAAGCTGTACTATAGAGCAAGAGTTATGAAAACTGTATGGTACTGGCATAGAAACAGAATTGTGGCTCAATGTAGCCGAACAGAAGACCCAGAACTAAACCCACACACTTATGGACACCTGATTTTTGACAAAGATGCCAAAACCATACAATGTAAAAAAAGATAGCATCTTCAACAAATGGTGCTGGTCCAACTGGATGTCTACATGTAGAAAAATGCAAATAGACCCCTACTTATCACCCTGCACAAAACTAAAGTCCAAGTGGATCAAAGACCTCAACATAAAACCAGACACATTAAATCGGTTAGAAGAAAAGGTGGGGAATACCCTAGAACTCATTGGTACAGCAGACAACTTCCTGAACAGAAGACCAACAGCACAGGCTCTAAGAGCAACAGTCAATAAATGGGACCACATTAAACTGAAAAGCTTCTGTAAAGCAAAGGACACCATCATCAAAACAAAATGATTGCCTACAGATTGGGAAAGAATCTTCACCAACCCTTTATTTGACAGAGGGCTAATATCCAGCATATATAAAGAACTAAAGAAGCTGAAACACAGCAAACCAAGTAATCCACTTAAAAAATGGGGAACAGAGCTAAACAGAGAACTCTCTGTAGAAGAATATCAAATGGCAGAGAAACATTTAAAAGAAATGCTTAACATTATTAGCCATTAGGGAAATGCAAATCAAAATGACCCTGAGATTTCACCTTACACCCATCAGAATGGATAAGATGAAAAACTCAAGTAATAATACATTCTGGAGAGGTTGTGGAGAAAAGGGAACCCTCCTCCACTGCTGGTATGAATGTAAACTTGTACAACCACTCTGGAAAGCAATATGGCACTTTCTCAGACAACTAGGAATAGCGCTTCCTCAAGATCCAGCCATATCACTCCTAGGCATATATCCAAAAGAGGCTCAAGTGCACAATAAGGACATTTGCTCAACCATGTTTGTAGCGGCTTTATTTGTAATAGCCAGAAACTAGAAACAGAACAGATACCCCTCAACTGAATAATGGATACAGAAACTGTGGTACATCTACACAATTGAGTATTACTCTGCAATGAAAAATAAGGAAATCATGAAATCTTCAGGTAAATGGTAGGACCTGGAGCGGATCATCCTGCGTGAGCTTTCACAGAAGCAGAAAGACATACATGGTATATACTCACTCATATAGACATATAACATAGGATAAACCTACTAAAATCTGTACATATAAAGAAACTAATCGAGAGAGGACCCTGACTAAAATGCTTAATCCCCATCCTGAAAGGCAAAGAAGGTGGACATCAGAAGAAGAAGAAAACAGGAAACAACCTAGGAACCTGCCACAGAGGGCTTCTGAAAGGCTCTGCCCTGTAGACTATCAAAGCAGATGCTGAGCCTGATGGCCAACTGTTGGGCAGAGTGCATGGAATTTTATGTAAGAAGTGGGAAACAATAAGAGCTGGAGAGGACAGGAACCCCACAAGGAGAGCAACAGAACCAGAAAATTTGAACACAGGGATCTTCCTAGAGACTCATACTCCAACCAAGTACCAGGCATGGAAATAACCTAGAACCCCTGCATAGATGTAGCCCATGATAGTTTAGTGTTCAAGTGGGTTACATAGTAATGGGAAGAAGGACTGCCTCTGACATAATCTGTTTGGCCTGTTCTTTGATCACCTCCTCCTAAGTGGGGAGCAGCCTTACCAGGCCACAGAAGATGACAATGCAGCTACTCTTGATGAGATCTGATAGACTAAGATCAGAAGGAAGGATTGGAGGACCTCCCCTATCAGTGGACTTGGGGAGGGGCATGCGTGAAGAAGGGGGAAGGAGGGTGGAACCGGGAGGGGAAGATGGAGGGTTTATGGGGGGATGCAAAGTGAATAAAGTACAATTAATAAAATAAAATAAAATTTAAAAAAATAAACAACGTTCATCTAAAATATAACATTTCATATAATTTTAGCTTATTATGAATTAATAATGTATATTGACTCAGAAGTGCCCTTTGTATCTAAATCTAAAGATAAATCTTTTATATTCTTAAAAGTTGTTTTATAGCTCTTAATTAGTTGCAGAATAATTGTGCATACCTATGGGGTTCAATGTGAGGTGACCATTGTGCTATTAAGTATTGACTCAACTTAATGTTACAGTGAGAACCCAAGATGCTTTAAGAAAGTAAAACTGATTTGATAACTGGCTTTATAATAGGAAGAAAAACATTGGAATTTTTTGAATATTTGTCAAAGGGCACCTACTTTTGAGTCCTTTTCTGGCCTGGTCTCGTGTTATCATATTCATTATCTGGCTGTGATGCGGTAAGTTTCCAGAAACTGAATAATCTGTTTGCATAATTTACAAAAACGATTTGCTTTGTCTTGTATTAATTCAAGAAAGTACCTATTTTTTCATATTATAGTTATACAGAATGACCTGTATTTACTACCAGATCTTGCCTTTCCTAAAACCAGAAATTTTCACTAACTTATTGGAATGATGTCAATATCAAAACAATGGTACACATAATAATATTTAGTAGAAATTAAGTACTATATCAGTATGAAGTACTTGTTATAGAAAAGCTTCTGTAAAGCAAAGAACCCAGTCAATAGAACAAACTGAAAGCCTAAAGAATGTGCACTTATGCGCGCGCGCGCACACACACACACACACACACACACACACACACTCACATAATAAAATCATGAGTAAAAAAATAGTATTATTAATGCTGTCCAGAAGTTGTCATAGAACTGCTGGTTGCTAGCTTATCTGCAAAGATAAGTGAGATTAAAATGATTTTTATATATTTTAGACTGGTTATTTTATATATATCTTGTGTGTATTTCATCCAAGAAAGCTTCAGCTTATTCAACTTAATATTTTTATATGCTCTATGTTCTTTGTACATGGTGAGTATAAGGCTTAATCTTTTATGGTTTAGGTTAATGTTTTACAGTTACTTTAGTTGAAGATAATTTTGCATATGTATGGGATAAATCTGTGTGTTTTTTAAAGATTTCTTTATTTATGTTATGTAGATGAGTATTCTATCTGCATGCATGCACACCAGCATGGCAGAAGAGAGCATTAGATCCCAGTATACATGGTTTGAACCACCATGTGGTTGCTTGAAATTGAACTTAGGACCTCTGGAAGAGCAGACAGTGCTCTTAACTGCTGAGCCATCTCTCCAGCTCAAATATGATGTTTCTGATACATATCTACAAAGTAAGATAATTAAATTAATGAACTAATGGACAAATATATTAGCTCAAGTACTTATTACTCATTGATTTTCAAAATATAAAAATGTAAGTTTTAGACCTTTACCTATGTTTTTTTTTTCTTTTCTAAATAAAGGTGTTATTTAATGGCCACTAGGTAAACATTAGAATTTACTAATCATATGCCTATGACCTAAAAGGTTCTAAGTTGGGTACACGTAGTGGTCATGGTTAGATTATGAGATGAGAAAGCAAGAAGGAACTTTTTGTTTTCCCACATTGATGCAACCTTTGTGACCCTGGGCATGTCATTTTCCTTGATTAAAATATTTACTTGTTTTTTTTTAATTTTTTTTATTGATTACAGTTTATTCACCTTGTAACCCTGATGTATCACCTTCCCTTATCCCTTCCCAATCCCACCCTTTCTCCTTCAGCTTCTCCTATGTCCCTCTCCAAGTCCACTGATAGGGGTGGTCCTCCTCCCCTTCTCTCTGACCCTAGCCTATCAGGTCTCATCAGGACTGGCTACTTTGATTTCCTTTGTGGCCTGGCAAGGTTGCTCTCTTCTCGGAGCGAAGTGATCGAAGAGACAGCCACTGAGTTTATGTCAGAGATAGTCCATGTTTACACTACTAGGGAGCCCACTTGGACACTGAGCTCCACGGGCTACATCTGTGAAGGGGTTTTAGGTTATCTCCATGCATGGTCCTTTGTTGGAGTATCAGTCTCAGAAAAGACCCCTGTGCCCAGATTTTTTGGTTCTATTGCTCTCCTTGTGGAGCTCCTGTACCTCCAGGTCTTTCTAGCTCTTCCTTCTTTCATAAGATTCCCTACACTTTGTCCAAAGGTTGGCTATGAGTCTCAGCATCTGCTTTGATACCCTGCTGAGTAGTCTTTTATGAGCCCTCTGTGATAGGCTCCTGTTCTGTTCCCTGTTTTCTCCCACTTCTGATGTCTGTCCCATTTGGCTTTTTGAGTGAGGATTGATCATCTTGCCCAAGCTCATCATTCTTGCTTAGCTTCTTTAGGTGTACAGATTTTAGTATGTTTATTCTATATTTTATGTGGCCAAGTGGGTTCCTTAGTAAGGGGAACAGGGATGTCACTGACATGAAATCAGTGGGTGGTTCTTTGATCACCTCCCCCTGAGGGGGGAGCAGCCTTGCCAGGCCACAGAGGAAGACAATGCTGTCAGTCCTGAGGAGACCTGATAGACTAGGGTCAGATGAAAGGGGAAGAGGACCTCCCTATGAGTGGACTGGAGGAGGGGCATGGGAGGAGAACAGGGAAAGAGGGAGGGGTTGGGAAAGAATTAGGGAGAGGGCTACAACTGGGATACAAAATGAATAAATTGTAAAAATAAATAAATAAATAAATAAATAAATAAATGAAAAATATTTTATATTATAAAAATGTTTTTATAATATGTATATTGGCCTTCTTGTATATTTGTACACTCAGGGTGTGTGTGTGTGTGTGTGTGTGTGTGTGTGTGTGTGTGTGTATGTCTGTGTGTGTGTGTATGTCTGTGTGTGTGTGTGTGTGTGTGTGTGTGCAGTACCAATGGAAGGCAGAAGGCACTGGGTCACCTGGAACTGGAATTGCTGATAGTTGTCCATAATGTACATGCTGGAGCCAAGCTCAGTTCTCCTGCCAGAGGAATAGTCACTTTTAACTACCGAGCTATCTCTCCATCCTCCTATTTATCCTTTCATGTCTTTTTACATGTGAAAAATTCACTTCCTTAATGAGTCCTCCTGAAAGTTAAATGATGTAATGATTTGCCCATGTATGTACTTCTCTCAAATATTGTGAAAATATCATGATTATGGATGATACTAAAGGTGTTATCTTTATGATTTTATAACAATTTTCATTTCTTTAAAGGTATGTAGATAAGACTGACATTTAGAAAAACTTTTTCAATGTTAAGGGGAAGATTAGTAACCACACAATTTTCAGGCAGCTGATTTCAAAGAATTTATAAAACAAGATGCCTTGTAGATGTTTTAGTTAGCAGAAGCACAATGAATGTTCAGATTTCTGGTTACCATTTAACATTTTTTTCCATTATAGATTAATTTTACATTTTATTGACTTGTAAGTTTCATAATTTTTCAAGGAGGATTGTTCCAATAGTGATGTTATCTTGATGCGACAAGAGGAAGTTCTAAATATTATGGGCAAGAATGGAAATTTAAATAAAAGAGACATTGGTGTTGAAGTGGATAAGTTAGCATTACAGTTTTGTTCTTCTTTTCCAAAAAATGCAATACATTTTAAATACTCATTTTCATCTTTTTATGTTCAGGGCCTCATGACATGGGTCAGTTGTGGAAACACACACATACACACACACACACACACACACACACACACACCATATAAAGCTTAAAATAAAACAGTAGTATTGGAATAGAAATACCTATCCTCTTCATAAGTAATTAAGTAATACTATGTTTATATTCTTTTCAACTACATTACTCCTAAACAAAATATGACCTTTATATTTTAAAATGACGACTAAACATCATAGCAAGCTGCAAAAATAATATGTATTCTTTTTTAATGTCATGAAGTTTGAAGATGACCAAGTTGTGGCCAGGCAAGATGGCTCAGTCAGTAAAGTATCTATCATACATAGATGATATGTGAGGAACTGAGTTTGGATCCTCAGTCCTCTTCTAAAAAATTCAGGTATGGTAATGAACATCAGTAATCCCAGAGACGGGATGCGGGGAAAGGCAGGTGGGTTCTCAGAGCTTTCTGTCCAGGCTGTCTGGCCAATATTCTTCCCTCAAAGCATCAAGTTGAAAGTAATAATGGAAGATAGTATTCTTCAACCTCAGGTCTACATCACATGTTCATAGACGTAACTGTGCACTCATGAGTGAGCACATACACACACATGCAAACACACACACACACACACACACACACACACACACACACACAATGTTACAAATACTGACCTGTAGTTGTTAGAGGCAATGCTGTTGAGAAGTTAGCCAAATATGCTACAAGAAAGAAAAGGTGTTCTTATTCTTGGCATTAGAACATAAATATACTGAAAAACACTAATTATAGTTTGAATATTTCTTCAAAGAGCATCTTAACTTCTGAGTTCCAATTTGCCTGCTTTCATGCTATTTCTATTCATTATCTGGCTACTGTACCTTAATATGCTTTTAGTAACTGCATAATCTGTTCACATAATTTACTAAAGCTAAATTTCCTTTTTCTGTATTAATTCAAAAAATACCCAATCATTCATACTAAAGTCATATGGAACAGTTTATATTTAACTAACATAACATAGCTCAGCCAAACTTGCCATTCCCAAGACTAATAATAGGACACTCAAATATATTTGAAAAAATGCATAATGCAAATATTAAACAAAAATCTCTAAAATTAACCTTGGTGCTATATTTATAGACATGTTCTAAGATAGCTCAATAAATCAAATATAACAAAACTTTGATTTGAGAATATTCTTTTGACCCTTTTACAATAAGGTTTATGGTGTAAGACAGACTAACTCAACTCAGGAAGATTTGTTTTATTTGTACCACTACATGATTTTTTAAAATTCTTTATTAATTACACTTAATTCGCTTTGTATCCCTCCCTGTGGTTCCCTCCCTCCTCCCATCCCAATCCCTCCCTTCCTCTCCCCTCTCATCGAAGGCCCCTCCCCAAGTTCACTGATAGGGGAGGTCTTTTCCTTCCTTCTGATCCTATCCAGGTCTTATTAGGAGTGGCTGCATTGTCTTCTTCTGTGGCCTGGTAATGCTGCTCCTCCCTCAGGGGGAGGTAATTAAAAAGCAGGCCAATCAATTCATGTCAGAGACAGTCCCTATTCCTATTACTATGGTTTCTGAACTGCCATGGGCCACATCTGTGCAGGGGTCTTAGGTTATCTAAATGCATGGTTCTTGGTTGTAGTATCAGTCTCAGGAAAGAACCCTGTGCTCAGATTTTTTGGTTTTGTTGCTCTCCTGTGGAGTTCCTGTCCTCTCCAGATCTTACTGTTTCCCACTTCTTTCCTAAGATTCCCTGCACTCTGCCCAAAGGTTGCCCATAAGTCTCAGCATCTGCATTG